ATCACTTTTCCCGCCAAAAAATATTTTGTATTTTGTGGAACTAATTTTGTTATATTTCCTTATATATTTGTGATATCTTTTATTAAAAGAAGGGTAATTTAGTCATTTTGTACATAAAAAGGGGTATTTTTAAAAATGGACAGCCAAATGGGGCATTTTTGAAAAGGGGTATTAAAAAAGGGGCATTTTTGTGAGTCTCCCTTTTTCAAAAGTGTAAACAAAAAGAGAGTATTTTTCCAAATTTACTCTTTTTTTTAAGTGATGTTCTTAATTTAATGTTAATCTTTTTATTTTATTTTATTTTATTTTATTTGTGACCATATGTGTTTTTGCAAAGTTTTTTTTGTCATTGGTTGAATTATTAAAAATTAGATAAAATTAACTTTTACTATTGAAAAGATAGAAAATAACATATTTTATGTGTAAAAACCTTAAATAAAGCAAAACGATTAGGATCATCACTGCCGATTCTCGGCTAATCCAAATTTCCACACATTTGTTTTTCATTTTTTTCCCCTTATCATTTCTTTCTCTCACCAACCAACAAGTTCTCCTCTATACCCATTTCGTCTCCTTCATTTTGACGTTTTCTTTAGATCTGTTAATAATCCATGGCTTGGTCTAGTCACTAGTGGTGTTATCTCTCTGTGTGGAATAAAAAGCAAGGTTTTTGAATCACTTGGATTGTTTAAGGAGATGGCAACTTTGAACCCTTTTGATTTGTTGGGTGACGATGCTGAGGATCCAAGCCAGCTCGCTGTTTCCATCGAGAAGATTGATAAGTCCAAGAAATCTGGACCGGTTTCGGGCTTCCCTGCTAAGTCAGCTCCTAAGCTTCCATCGAAGCCACTTCCTCCTGCTCAAGCCGGTGAGGTTTCTTCTCATAAATCAATCAGAAAAATTCGATCTTTATTACTAGAGTAAGCTGTCTGTATTGTTGTTTGGATTCTCTTGATTATTCATGGAGTTGTGTTTTGTCGTTTGAGTGATTGAGATTGGTGTATGTATGATTAGTTTTGATGTTGTTGATTAGTGAGAGAGGCAAGGAGTGATGCTCCACGTGGTGGTGGTGGAGGCCGTGGAGGATTTAGCCGTGGTCGTGGTGTTTACAACCGTGAGGATGGTAACAATGGATATTCAGGGGGATACACTAAACCCTCAGGGGATGGAGATATGTCAAAGTCTTCTTACGAGAGGCGTGGCGGTGGTGGTGGTGGTGGAGGGGCTCCTCGTGGTTCTTTCCGTGGTGAAGGTGGTGGTGGTCGTCGTGGTGGACTCAGCAATGAGGGTGGTGAAGGGGAACGTCCTCGAAGGGCCTTTGAGCGTCGTAGTGGAACTGGCAGAGGGTCAGTGATATTCTGTTGTTGCATAATCTGCCATTGAAATGATTGCATCAATCTCATAAGTTTAAGTTTTAACTGTTGGATAGGAGTGACTTCAAACGTGATGGATCTGGTCGTGGCAATTGGGGAACTCCAGGGGAAGAGTTAGCTGCGTAAGTACTTGTTTATGGTTGATTGCATTTGTATAAAAAATGTAGAGTTTTATATGATTGTGATTGGGAATTTGGACTAAAAAAGCTTTCTCTGGATCTGTAAGTGAGACTGAAGCAGTAGCTGGTGTTGACACTGAGAAGGATGTTGGAGAGAAGCTAGCTGTTGATGATGTAGCTGCTGATGCTAACAAGGAGAACACTGTTGTTGAAGAGAAAGAGCCTGAGGATAAGGTAAACAGAGAATAGCATAAAAATGCTAGGCTTCTATTTACTGTTTTCTAACTGGTTTAATGATATAGAACTCAATTTGTCATTGTAAGTTGCTAAAATCAATGGATACTCTCACTGGTATCAGTTTTTTATTCTCACTGATTGTTTTTTGACTTGTGTTTCTACAGGAAATGACTCTTGATGAGTATGAGAAAATACTTGAGGAGAAGAAAAAGGCACTTCAATCATTGGCCACCTCTGAGAGGAAAGTTGATACTAAAGTGTTTGAATCAATGCAACAACTGTCAAACAAGAAGTCTAATGATGAAATCTTCATCAAGCTAGTAAGACATATCTATTATCATTTCTTCATTGTCGACTAGAAACTTGTTTACACGATTCTGAACCTTTCTTTCATTTATTTCCCAGGGTTCTGATAAGGACAAACGCAAAGATGAAAAAGAAGAGAAGGCGAAGAAGGTTTAAATCATTGTCTAAATCTAACATTTTGTAGAAGTCAATAAGTTTGCTTACTGATGTGATTTCTGATTTACAGGCTGTGAGCATCAATGAGTTTCTGAAGCCAGCAGAGGGTGAGAACTACTACCGAGGAGGAGGTCGTGGTGGCCGCGGACGTGGTGGTCGTGGCCGTGGAGGTGTTTCTAGTGGCGAATCTGGTGGTTACCGTAATGAAGCTGCACCAGCCATTGGAGATGCTGCTCAGTTCCCATCTCTTGGGGGCAAGTAAGATCCATCCATACTCGTGCATCCTCCTCTAGGATATTGTGCGAGGATCTTAACCTAGGTTTTGGGGAGACACAAAGGCCCATGGACCTTGTGAGCTAGACCTCAACTCTATCATTACTGTTTACCGGTCTCTCGTTGTCAGATGTAAATTTTTAGGTGTCAGTCAGTTTTTAGATTTTATGCAAACAAACTTACGCCTGATGGTTTTCTTTACTTTTGAAACAGTACACTGTTTTATTTTACCATTTTAGTCTTTGTTGTTTTGATGTTTTCTTATTTGTGAAACATGTTTTGAGACAGACATATCTAATGTTATCGGTATGACTGTATGAGTCTTCTTCACTCTGTATCCTCTTTTCTCATTACTGATCGTGTTCTTACTTCTTAGATGTTATAAACTCAGTTATAAGATATTCTCGCAATGGTTGCTACTTGCTAGATGCTACTACATTTTGTAGGATTTAAACATTTTCCTGTGTTCTGTCATAAACCATGTAAAATGCTTTCTCGCTTCAACATTCATCAGCCATTAAAACGCTGGAAATTTCGATTCTTTTCGCGCTCAGTAGAAAACCCAGATGCCATTTTGGTGGGATCATGTTTGTCTTCCACTTTTTCATCGCCAGAGCCATCTCTGGTTCGCTCCGATTACTTGACTAAACCTTCTGATGAAGACCAGATTTTTCCGTTGAACAAGATTATAGCTACACGTGTACGTTCAGGAGATATTGATGGAGCTCTTAGTGTGTTTCACGGAATGAGAGCTAAGAACACAGTTTCCTGGAATTCTCTGCTCGTGGGGATTTCTAAAGATCCAAGCAGAATGATGGAAGCACACCAACTGTTCGATGAAATCCCTGAACCAGATACTTTCTCCTACAACATTATGTTGTCTTGCTACGTTCGTAACGGAAACTTCGAGAAGGCCCAGAGCTTCTTCAATCGGATGCCATTCAAGGATGCGGCGTCATGGAACACAATGATCACAGGGTATGCACGAAGAGGTGAAATGGAGAAAGCACGGGTATTGTTTTATTCCATGATGGAGAAGAATGAAGTTTCTTGGAATGCCATGATCTCTGGATACATTGAATGCGGAGATTTGGAAAAGGCAGCACATTTCTTCAAAGCGGCTCCATTTAGAGGTGTTGTGGCATGGACGGCGATGATCACAGGGTACATGAAAGCCAAGAAGGTTGAATTAGCTGAGGCTATGTTCAAAGACATGACAGTGAAGAAAAATCTTGTAACTTGGAATGCTATGATCTCTGGTTATGTTGAAAATTCCCGGCCAGAAGATGGATTGAAGCTTTTCAGAGCTATGCTTGAGGAAGGAATTAGGCCTAACTCGTCTGGACTAAGCAGCGCATTGCTCGGATGCAGCGAATTATCGGCTTTATGTTTAGGGAGGCAAATCCATCAGATAGTGTGTAAATCTACATTGTGTAATGACATAACTGCATTGACGTCTCTGATTAGTATGTACTGCAAATGTGGAGAACTTGGTGATGCTTGGAAACTCTTTGAGGCGATGAAGAAGAAAGATGTTGTGGCGTGGAATGCAATGATTTCCGGGTATGCTCAGCACGGTAATGCGGAAAAGGCTCTGTGTTTGTTCCATGAGATGAGAGATAGCAAGACAAAGCCGGATTGGATAACGTTTGTTGCGGTTTTACTGGCCTGTAACCATGCTGGACTAGTGGATATAGGGATGACATATTTCGATTCAATGGTGAGAGATTACAGGGTAGAACCGCGGCCTGATCACTACACATGTATGGTTGATCTTTTGGGTCGGGCTGGGAAGGTGGAAGAGGCATTGAAGCTGATAAGATCAATGCCGTTTAGACCGCATGCTGCAGTCTTTGGGACACTCTTAGGGGCATGTAGAGTGCACAAGAATGTGGAATTGGCTGAATTCGCAGCCGAGAAACTGCTTGAGCTAGACCCGAGAAATGCAGCTGGGTATGTTCAGCTCGCGAATATCTACGCATCGAAGAATCTTTGGGAAGACGTTGCAAGAGTTCGCAAGAGAATGAAAGAGAGCAATGTTGTGAAGGTAGAGTGACTCAAAAAGTTCGATTCTTTATTCGATTTATAAGACTCTAATGTATTCAATTCTGTTTCAGGTACCCGGATACAGTTGGATCGAGATAAGAAACAAGATTCACCATTTCAGATCAAGTGATCGGATTCACCCGGAACTAGACTCAATACACAAGAAACTGAAGGAGTTGGAGAGAAAGATGAAACTAGCTGGATACAAACCGGAGCTAGAATTTGCTTTACACAATGTAGAAGAAGAGCAAAAGGAGAAGCTATTGTTATGGCACAGCGAGAAGTTAGCGGTTGCATTTGGGTGCATAAAACTCCCTCAAGGTTCACCAATACAAGTGTTCAAGAACTTGAGAATCTGTGGTGATTGTCATAAAGCAATCAAATTTATCTCGAAGATAGAGAAACGAGAGATCATGGTAAGAGACACCACAAGGTTTCACCATTTCAAAGATGGGTCTTGCTCTTGTGGCGATTACTGGTGAAAAGAGAAGACCTTTGACTCTCTCATTGGTCAAACCTGACTGTATTTATATGCGTTATTGTGTGATAAAGTTTCGACCTTTGACTTGACAAGTTGGCTTTAAGGAGAGAGATGCGTAGATCAGCGAGTGGTTCTAGAGTTTCTGATCATTTTCCGGCGAAGTCACCGCCTCGATCTCAGAGTGTTACTGCTATGGAAGATGATGTGGAGCTGCTTTTGCCTAGGTACGATCCGAATTCTCAAGCGGGGAAGAGAGAGAAATCAAGATTCAGATTTGCAGAAAACGTCATCCATTTGATTCCTCTCATCCTTCTTCTCTGTGTCGTAATCCTCTGGCTCTTCTCTCATTCAGGTAAACCGAGAAATTGATTCAATCTCTATGAATCCATAATTGATCTATGAAACTTAATTAGGAAATTCAGAAAAACCCATCTGGAATGTTAGAATCTTGTGTTGAATTATGGTTTCAATTTGTTCATATAATACTAAACCGGTGATGGATTTGGAATTTGTCAGCAGCGTTAAGGAGTTGAGTTCAAGAAGCTAAACATGTTGTCTTGTCTCCATGTGAACTCTTATTCAGTTTTGGGAAAGGAAACAACTTTTTACTCCCGGTGATTTTGTGCCGCATACCATACGTAACTCTTGCAATTTGTTTGTTCTTTACACAACACATAACGCTGCAATTTTTTTTTTTTTTTTATAACGCTGCAATTTGTTTGTTCTTAGTATTGAAAAAGTAAAGATCTATATGTAACTCTCGTTTTCATGAAATGTATGCTTAATATTTCACTATACATTTTTGATTAAGCATTTTTTCGTTTTGGTTTAAATGTAACTATTTTAGTATGTAATAACTATTTCAACATCACACAACTCAAGTAAAAAAAAAAAAAAACACTGATGGTAACCCATTAGTCATCATTCTGTTGGTTGAAAATAAAGATTAGTTACAACTTAAAGCTACCTTAGTGATTATATGTTCAGCTAGCCAACTCAACTAGAGTTAAACAATGAAATCAAAAATACATATTCAGTAATTTATTTCAAACTCTGACTATTTATGTAAATACAAATGGAAATTAAAATCGAAGGTCATGAAGATTCTATTCTTAGTATTGGAAAAGTATAGATCAATAATAAAAATATATACCAGACTTAAGTTGATGAATATGGTTTTAAATCCTCTAATACTCACTGTACTGCCATGGCCCATGGTAGAGGTAAATAAACCAATTTTAGAAATATTAGTGGATTAAGCATTTAAGCTGTCCAAGTTTCGTTGTATTTTGTTTACATTTTATTGATTAAAAAACTTAAATAAGTTCAACTATTTATTGACTAATAATAATACGTGTTAAATGTCTATTGGTTGAAAATATGGGCCATAGGCCCAGCCTTGAAAAAAAAAAACTTGAAACCCAAAGTTTTATTTTACTTGTTTTCTTTCTCAGTGAATTTCTCCCAATCAAGCTTCTTCGATTTTGCTTGCTCTCTCTTACACCAATCGGTGTTTTCGCAGCTTTCAGGTTTGTCTCAATCTCAAATTAGATCGGAGTCAAGTAATAACAATTGATAAACCTAATTGTTTCCATTATATTGTAAGAATTGAAAATTTGCAGTAGATCCGGAATCGAATTCTAGTTCCGGATCTCGATTAAGATTTCTTCATACACATTTGGTCCAAATCATCCGAACTGTTGTTTGAACAAAGTTTCTGTTTTTAGAATCATTGCTTAAAGTGTCAATCTTTCATCTAGTCCTGAGAAAACTGTGACTTTCCAGATAAGTATGATGATTCTTTGCTAAGTGGCATTGGATAAAGTTTCCGGTTTTGCAATACGCCTACTCTTGTCTGTGTCTTGAATGAACTCTCTGAGTTGCTAAAAAAGTCTTGTGCTTTCTTGATTACACAGGTCTCAATGCAAGACATTCTCTATAAGCATATATATCTGCATTACCGTAGCATGAATCTGTTTTTTTTTTTGTTTGGTTCTCTTTTAAATTTTCAGAGCCATGATAAGATATTATAAGTTTTTTGTGGATTCAACCACCGTTTGTTGTTATTCCTCGATTTTCTTCTTAGATTATTGATAATCCTAATTGCTCTGCAGAGACTTTGCCCAGAAGAGCTGGATCTAATTGTTGCATTGAGTTGATCGCCATGACGTAGGGAAATTCTAATTTAGGGGAGGCCTCGGAGTTTGCACTAACCTCATAATCGGCTCTTGACGTCGTTGATTGTAATTGAACAAGAATGTGTAGGCAAAATTGTCGCGCGAAATCCTCACCGGAGGAAGTGATTTCAACTGATGAGAATCTCTTGATATATTGTAAACCTGTTCGACTATACAACATCTTTCACCTTCGCTCTCTAGGCAATGTATGATTTGGCCTTCCTCTCTCATCATTTTAGCTCAGTAACGACTGTATTCAATTTCTTCTTTCATATCCTTTGTAGATTGCCTACTTAGTTTGGGTTTGTTCAGCCGATTATGGTCTGACTCATGGCGAGTGTGTTCTTCTTCTGTCTCCTAATGTTATTTGAACTTGTTTTGTTGTTGCAGCCATCGTTTCTTCCAAGATGCTTGAACTACAAAATTGGAACAAAGCGCAAAAGAAAGTATGAGTTTCTTCTTGAATGTAGTTGCTACAGTGATATATTATTTATTTTACTTCTAATATGGAAGCTGGTGACTTATTTATCTTTGTTGAGTAGATATGGCCATAATGAATGGTTTTCTCTTTGTTCATGGTATACACTTACATTTTTCTAAATTGTGTTTTGGTTAGGTCAAGATCTACTGGGATGGTAGTTTTCAACTATAAGGATTGCAATAATACATTACAGAAAACTGAAGGTGATTCTTCGACAAAATTCGATGTCAATTTCTATGTTTCTCTAGATGATTTTTTTATTTACTATTTTTTCTGTATTGTCATGCAGTTAGGGAGGATTGTTCTTGTCCATTTTGCTTTATGCTATGTGGTAGCTTCAAGGTGGGCAACTATTACAACTGAGGTTTCTTCCGAGACCTTTCATATCTAACACTGTGAAATGCTGCTGGCTGCTGCCTTTTCATGCTGTATACTTGCACTGTGCGGTTGCATATTTTTTTGTTTGTTGTTTTTCTTCTCACTCTTTTCGAACTGTTGAGTGTGTGCTTATCTGAGAAAACATGTTCCAGATGGAGCTTACAATCCATTGTCTTGTGTCTAACTGTCTATGCAGGGGCTGCAATTTCATTTGAATTCATCTCATGATTTATTTGAATTTGAGTTCAAGGTATGTGGTTTTATGGAATTTATTGTTTTGGTATGCCTTTTCAATGAGATTATAGTTAAAAAGGGTCTTTCCTATTGTAGCTTTCGGAAGAATACCAGACAGTTAATGTTAATGTAAAACTTAATTCCTTCATATTTGAGGTCAGTTACTTTAAACTTGGTAACTTAGGGAGATCCTATAGCTGGTGAAAATTTAGTTTATATTCCATCCTTCTTTTTACCAGGAAGAAGGAAGTGATGAAGATAAATTTGAGCCCTTCTCTCTCTGGTAACTTTCAGAACCCCTTTATAAATACCTTAATAGCAGTAACTCCTTGCTTTTCATGTCAGTACATCTCTATGAACCCAACCATAATGTTTTGTAGCTCGAAACCTCGTAAGCGTAGACAAAGAGGTGGCAGAAATAACACCAGGCGACTTAAAGTACGCTTTTTACCGTTGGATTCACCCAGTTTAGCTAATGGCACAGAAAATGGAATTGCCCTGCTGAATGATGGTAAAACCACATCTTCTTCTGTGGTATTCCTTGTGGCTTAGAACTTAATATTACAGGAGAAGATACAATGGTTTGATTGTTCAATTTTTGTACTTCTCACATTCTTCTTGCGATGGTAGTTTTACCAGAACTGTTTTACAAAATGAATGGCATGCTACAGGAAACCGTGGTTTAGGATATCCCGAGGCAACAGAGCTTGCTGGACAATTTGAGATGACTAGCAACATTCCACCAGCCATAGCTCACTCTTCTCTGAACGCTGGTGCTAAAGTTATATTAACAAGCGAAGCTGTGGTCCCTGCTACAAAGACAAGAAAGTTATCTGCGGAGCGATCAGAGGCTAGAAGGTTTGTTCATCATGATAGCCCGTCATCTTAATTTACCATTCCTGTTGTTACAAATTGTTCTTCCTATTCTGGATAAGTGTTTACTGTACTGCTATATTAACTGAGAAGATTTCTTCCAGCCACCTGCTTCTTCAGAAACGCCAATTCTATCATTCTCACAGAGTCCAGGTGATCCAAGTTCCTTCACCTTCTTCTTAGGCATTTTCTTTATATTGCTCATGATGATATCTTATCAAAGCAGACTTGGTCCCGAGTTACGATACTCTGGTTTGATTGTTCTCATCCAAATTTATATTTTTGATTTTGTGTGTATCAACGCAAAAGATACTATGTCCATGTTGTCTCTATTTTATTGCCACTAACCAAAAAGTGCATGTTTATGTGACAAGCCAATGGCGCTTGAGCAAGTAATGTCTGATCGGGATAGCGAGGATGAAGTCGATGATGATGTTGCAGATTTCGAAGATCGCCAGGTATTCCATGATTTCTTTCTGCGTTCATTTTGTAGACAACCGAAAAATGGTATACGATGTAACTTGCTAATGGCTTTTGAAACTTAAAAAAGCTGCAGATGCTTGATGATTTTGTGGATGTGAATAAAGATGAAAAGCAATTCATGCATCTTTGGAACTCATTTGTAAGAAAGCAAAGGTAATTACACTTGAACACACACAGAGGTGTGCAAGTTAATTCATTCAAACAATAGAAGTACTTTTGCTATAGAATACCTGAGATATTGAATAGATTGATCCACCAGTAATTATTTTACCTTTGGCCCTAGAACCATGTTCCGTTTTGTTTACAATGACACACAACATGTTCTGTTGCTTGTTTCATAGTCGCGACTCAATAGCAACGAAATCATATATGTTTTATAGTCGCTGACTTAGCATTGGGGATAGATATCGCTAACTACTAACCAAATATTTGTAAACATTGCAAATTAAGTGAAAATCTATGATGCACGGGGACGTTAATTTTCAGCCGTCTCACGTCCCAGATTCGTTTCGGGGACGGGTACTTGATGGGCACAGCCTAAAAACGTTTCCCCCACGTTTCAGAGTAGTTAGGGACGTCAAGCAAAAAATGGAAACGTGAGGGAACATATACGGGGACGTTTCCAATGAGTTTTTGGAAATAAATTAAGTGTCCTCCTTTTAGAATAGGCAACTTAACTATTTTTCCTACAAAAAACTCAAACGTAAAAGGAATTAAAAGGCATGTTCTAGGGGTTTAACATAAGATTCCATGGAAGATATGAGGTTCTTTGAGTTTTCCAACCTTTAGATGATCCAGATCTTTGAAAATCAATTCCTCAATATTAAGCTTTTTTATGTTATTTAGAATATTAAATCAAAAAAAAAATTATGTTGAGACTTATATTTATATTTAAGGGTATTATATATATATATGTATATGTTTTATTGAAGTACCCATGCCGTACCCGTATCTATGAATTTTTATTTTGCCGTTTTCCGTCCCCGTTTCTAGTTCCCGTACCCGTTTCGGTGCTACTTAGGTGAAAATCAACAATATTGTCCGGTGAAATATGTTGTTATCGCTGGTGAAAGATGTTATATCTGAAATGTGTCATTGAATGTGTCTGTTGCTAACAACATCGAAACAAAAAGACCTTATGTCTTACATTCCATACCTTTGTCTTAATGATTTTGGTTATGGAACATTGAGCTCAGACCAAATTATGATTTATGTTGCAGGGTTATCGCAGATGGTCATATTTCGTGGGCATGTGAAGCATTTTCAAGATTTTACGAGAAAGAGTTGCACCTTTACTCATCACTCTTCTGGTAATATCTCCAGAATTATTTGTACAAGTACACCAAGCACATAACAATATCAATTTTGTTTCATTTCTAAAAAATAAATATGCAGGTGTTGGAGATTGTTCTTGATTAAACTATGGAACCATGGACTTGTGGACGCAGCCACTATCAACAACTGCAATACCATCCTCGAGAATTGCCATAATAGCTCAGACACCACCAACAGTGTGGATCATCCCAATGAGTCAAACACCAATAACAATAACAGTGTGGATCATCCCAATGACATAAACAACAAGAACAATGTTGACAACAAGGACAATAACAGCAGAGACAAGTAATTAAAAAAGGAAAATCTCCGGTTTAGATGATATACCGGTTGATCGGATTGTAACTTATTCTTCTTTCTTTTAAACCTGTTTAGGAGCAAACAAAGATTTTATTTGTTAGTGTATTCAACTGATTACATCTTTAGTTGAAAAATGGATTCTGCTTAACTATTTTTTAATTAAAAACTGAAAAAAAGTTTCCTTAAATTTTATTTTTGACTTGAGAAAAAAGCTCCCCTAGTAAATTAAGTAAAAAACAAAACTGTATTAGTGCAAATAGATTGAAAACAAATCAAGAAAATTATAATAACAGAGAGTGGTTATTGGTTAAGCTTAAAAACACCATTTTGACTTGTTCCTTCTCAATGAATTCTTCCCAAGCAAGCTTCTTCGAATTTGCTCTGACACCACCAATCGGTGTTTTCGAATCTTTCAGGTTTGTCTCGATTTCAATCTATATCGGATTCAAGTGATTGACTTAATTGTTTCCGTTCTCTCGTAAGAGTTGGGATTTAGCCGTAGATCGGGATTCTTTGTTCTGGATTCGTTGCGTCTAGTTGGTTATCGATGGATTGTTTGGTACCTTAAGATCACTGAATTTTATACCATCGATTCGTACTCAGATTAGGGTTTATATTCTTAGATGAACTCGAACTTGTAGATAAAGAACATTTTGGTCAACTATGGTTGATCTCTAAACTTGTTTTGTATTCTCTGTTTTGGATTAATCGCTTCAAGTGTCATTCTTTCATATGGTTCTGGCAAAACTGTGACTTTCCAGATAAGTATGATTCTTTTGCTGAAAGATGGTTTTATTTGGATAAAGTTTTCGGCTTTGAATACGCATTGTCTTTTCTGTGTTTAGTATGGATTCTCTTGAGTAGCTAAAAAGTTTTGTGCTTTCACTATTACACAGGTCTCATACAAGACACAGTCTCTAGAAGCATAATATCGTCTACTCAGTTTTGAGTTTCCCAACAGTGGTTGAAGCTTAAGGAGGTTCTTATGTGCCTTTTGAAATCATGATTGAGGTAAAGCGACCTGGTTCTTCCACGCGGATCACCACTACACTTCTTGATTCCTTCATCATTCTCTTCAGAAACAAACACATATTAATCCCAGTCTTTGCCTTCATAGCGATCCCTCTCGCAGCCTTACACCTCTCCCTAATTCTCACCTCCTTTCGCCTTAAAAACCATGTCTTTCGTCTGGAAGCCCTAGCTAATGTCGTGCATACACGGTTTGAAGCTAGACAGATCTGGCAAGAGTCTAGAGAAGATGCTGTCTCGCTTTTACATCTCAAATCCCGGTATTTCGTCCCATCATTCATCCTCTCATGTATCGCTTCGATAACCGTCATCACATCAACTTCATTCTCACACCAAGGCCTAAACCCATCTCTGAAGTCGTCATTTGCTTCAGTGAAGTCCTCGTGGATGCGAGTAACAGCAACTTCCATCATCATCTATGGTCTGCTCTTCCTCTACTCACCAATTCCCATGTTTCTATCAGCTCTCGTTGGTTACACACCCACATTGCGTTATCTCATCACAATCTTCTGTCTCGGTGTTGAGGTATACATAATGGCTATAACAGGGCTTGGCCTTGTCGTCTCTGTATTAGAAGAAAGATACGGTTTTGATGCGATCAAGGAAGGAACCGCCCTGATGAAAGGGAGGAGGATAACAGGGTTGGCTTTGGCGGGTGTATTTGTGTTTCTATCGAGTTTCATTGGTCATGGGATGGAGAAGTTGGCGAAGGAGCTAGATATGGACTCGAGCTCAGGGTCGTGGTGGAGGTCGGTGGTTGTGGCCGGTGGATGGGATGGGTGGAAGCTGGTTTGTATGTATGGGGCTGAGGTGGTGCTGAGTTATGCTGTAATCACTGTTTTTTACTGTGAGTGTAGGAAACGCCATGGTAGCAGCGATCCAATTGTTGCTGATGAGGAAGGTCTTGCTATTTAAAATTAGTTCCAACACTTTTTTATTGTTGATAATTCTCTTGTGAAATTGTGAAATACATTTTTGTTTACCAAAATTATGATTTATTCATTGTTTTAAAGAGAGAAAAATAACCTTTGGTAACATGTGTGTTTCAAAAGACAACTGTTATATTTACATCTTTTCCGGAAAGCAAAATTTCCATAAAAGGTGTCTAGTTGTCAGTAAGTGCTCCATCATCTGCTGGAGAAAATGTCTTGTGTGAAAAACTAAGAAATCGTCTTGTCATTACCAGTATAGTCATGGTCGAACCCATGTTCGTTACAAAACAGAGTTGTAATATGTTTCAGACTACCTTAACAATGTGATAAGCTTTGGAGACGGCTAAGGATCCAGGAGAGGAATCTTAACAATGTGATGGTGTGAATTCAGTCAAGGCAGATCTTAACTGTTCAGGGTCAGCAGTGAAAGGTGTCGTCCCCATCATGAGGTATAACAGAGTAACTCCCGCAGACCACACGTCTATCTTAGGCCCTTGATGCAAAGATCTGAAGCCCCAGAGAATTAGCATCCCATCCTAGATGTTCTAATGAGTAGTTCAGGCCTACAACTTTCATCTCAAGGAGTCAAGGTACAATATTTATATAATAACTAGTAACTCCGAAGCTAAAACCCACTTTCACTCTTTACCATATAATTAAAGAGTGCAGCGGCATTGGGGTCAGCTTTCCCTGGAACAGCAGCGACATGTTTCTCATATGTAGGATAGCTGGATGATATACTTCATGGTTGGACCAGACGATGTCTCGTGCAGAAAGTTTGAAAGCTCGTCCCTTCACCTCAAGGACGCTGGTCACATCTTTGGCCGAGGCTAAGCCAAAAACGCTTCCAACACATGTTGAATCAGCAATGCAAATGTTGCTGATGACGAGGATCTTGCTATTCCAACACATTCTTGTTGTCAATTCTCTTGTGAATTTACGATATACATTTTTCTTTACCCAAAGTCTGATTTATTCATTGCTAATAAAGAGAAAAACAACCTTTACTAATATACACATTGAGATCTATGTTTTTTAAAAAGCAAGACTATTTTGGCTAGTAGGTGAGTTCAAGTATGTAAACCGTAAGCTCACAAATTCAATGTCTTTATTAAAAATAGATAGATGTATGATGGACAATACAAATCCATGCCAAAGATGTTTTTGAATCATTTATTCTTTCAAGAAAAGCGAAATGTTCAAACAAACACAGAGTGTTTCTGCATTCAGATAAAGAAGAAATTACAAACACTTTAAGGCTCCGGAGTTGGAGAACTAAACGGACTTTGGTTCTCCGAAAACTCTTCATCATCTGCAGAAAAAAATGGCTTGTGACAAAACCTATGAAACCTCGTCTTGTAATTATCATTATAGTCATGGTCGATCCCAAGTTATCCTAAAACAGAGCAAAACAGAATAATAAGATGCTTCAGTTACCAGAAACAGGATACAAGATAGGAATTTGTTCAGCTTGTTCTTCAGTTATCATGTAATCAACACACAAAGCTTCCCCCTCCAGAGATGGATAAGAAGAAACTGATGATGCTTCTCCCTGCCCTAACGAAAGATCCAAATTTAGAGCGGCTAATCCTGTGCCCGCTACAATTTGGTCACCGGTTAAGTTGATATAGTCTTCAGATGTTCCCGATGTCATCTGCATTATAAATCAAACGATCGATTCTATTAAATAGTTTGTCGCTATGGTATTTCGATCCTGGAAAAACAAATCAAAAGTCAAAAGATAACTTTATAATTTTCAGCTCTAACTATGGCAAAAGGCTTACCCGCATCCGCTTCTTGCTTCTCCTAGTCGGTTGGTTGTACTCTGTTTCAGAGCTTCCAGCACTACCATCTGGAGATGGATAGACATTCAAGAGTTGTACACCACATTCTTTTATCATCTTGGAGCAAGAAAACTTAAACTCCACATCGTTGAGAGTCAATTTACATGGAAGGTCTTCATGGTGGAACTGGAATGAACAGAAAAACAGATGATCCGTCTTACAAAACTGCAGTTCTTCTGCTTCTTCAAAAAATGATTTCTTATACTGTGCGCCATTGAAGCCAACGTTTACCTTCAACGTGCGATGCAAACCCTTGCCCTCCGAGAGAGGGTCAACCACGACGCAAGCCTTAAATAGCAAGAAGTATTGAGAAAGAGAGCTCTGAGGTAAAGTGACAGCTAGGGAATCTCCATAAGCTCGATATTGGAAATACGTAGGCACTTCTTCACCTGGTAAGGCCACAGGCTTGAAGCATGATCGTAGGATGAGTTCTCGCGCATCTCTATCCAATTTAAAGCAATTACGGAAGCTAAAATATTCCCAATCTACCTCGAAGTAATCATCATCAGAGTAATCATCATATAACTCATCCCAGAAACGTTCACATGTATATTCAATGTTTTCATGTAATGGTACACAGGAAATGTGATCTTCCATTGTCGCTACCACAGTGGCATCACTCAACGCCATGATGACACCTCTACAGTCTGTAAAGTCGACGAGCATTAGACTTGTCAGTCTGAAAATGTTCGGGTGGATGTTTTTCAAACTCTGGCAACAATACATCATTAGTACAGTGAGCCTCGAGAAATTCTCAATGCAGCAGGGAACTTCTACAATGGCGGTGTTATCTAGATAGAGCCATTTGATATTCCATGAAATCAGAGGAAAACTTCTCAAACTTGAGCAACCACTGAGATCGAGGATATCGAGAGATGACAAGTTGACATCGGTTGGAAGAACCTCCAGCCTTGTGCATCCTTTCATTTCCAACCCTAACAAATTTTGGAGATTCTCAATTGTAGAAGGAAGTGTCACCAAACTTTTGCACCCGTTGAGATAAAAACGCTTCAGATTGGTGGCCTTTGAAAGATCTGGAATTTCTGTCAGGTTTTCACATTCTGACAGATTCATCCACTCGAGACTTCCAAGCGACTGAAACAGAAATTAGCAAAAAAAAAAAAAAAAAACATTGGTATGCTTCGATCATTATCAATGATATATTTTAATTTTATACCTATATATGTTTCAAATTATAATTAAAAATCATTATGTATGTAAGAAATAACCGTGGATCACATGTCATTTTTGACAAATTTGGTTATAAGATAGATTAAACAAAAATCAGCAGATGCTATAATATTAACAATGTACCTGGACGCCTTCCCATAGCTTCTCAAGCTTGTTGCCTCTCACATCAAGACTAACCAAATATTCTGGGCTAAATTTACAAGGCATACATCCCATAAGGCAGTCGAGATAATTGAGTCCAGGGAGATTCTTGTTCCAGAAACAATCTTTTACTTCGATCTCAAATATACTATCTAGCGGAAAGCCGTATAAATTTCCCATTTGGATTGCAGGGAAATTTCTCAAATTTAGGCATCCAGTGAGATCGAGGTACTCCAGAGATTTCAAGTTGAGATGAGTTGGAAAACTCTCTAGCTTTCTGCATTCACTCATATCTAAATAATTCAGTTTAATGGCATTCTGAATCGAGGAAGGAAGTGCCACCAAAGATGAGCATCCAGAAAGTTCTACTTCCTCTAGGTTTATGGCATTAGAAAGATCTGGAATTTCTTTCAAATATTTTGAATTACTCAAATTCATCGTCTTGAGGCTTCCAAGTGGCTGAAAACAATATAGGGGAAAAGAGAATATTAAACAGATTCATTTATAGTTTTTCTAACATATATATATATATATATATATATATATATATATATATATGTTTAGAAATGGGAAAAATGTCATTTAAATCATCAGTTTACCGTTGGTTTAAAGTATGAACTCTGGACCTAGTGATTTAAATCCTCAATTTTATGTGGACCTGATGATTTAAATCCTCAATTTTATGTTGACTTTCAATTTAATTATGAATTCTAGTTGACTAAGCCAATTGAGGCACACCGTTAACTGACTAAACGGAATAATCAGACGAAGAGGAAGATGGAAACCATGTTGATGTAGAAGAAAAATTATTTGATGGCTTCGAAGTGTCAGTAATGCGATGACATCGTCTTATTGATCCGTTTAGCCATTTAGCAATATGCCTCAATTGGCTTTGTCAATGAGAATTCATGATTAAAATGAAAATCAACATAAAATTAAGGATTTAAATCACCAGATCTAGAGTTCATGATTTAAACCAACGAAAATGGTAAACTGACGATTTAAATGACATTTTTCCCGTTTAGAAATTGACAACTAATAGAATTAGTACCTGATTTCTTTCCCACAACTTCTCAAGCTTACTATTCACCATTATGAGTTCAACCAGATACTCAGCCTTAAAATTAGAAGGCAAACACTTCAATGGAAATTCATACCATCTTAGAGATATGAGTTTATGGGGGAAATGAACGATGCCCTGAGGTAGATCCATATTCGACCAATTTAAAACTGATAGATATTGGAGATTACGCATGCCTTCTAATGGTTTTGAATCTATTAATAGCTCTCCCGAACAATTTAACTTCCTCAGTTTAATGGCATTCTGAATCGAGGAAGGAAGTGTCACCAAAGATGAGCATCCATAAAGATCTAATTTCTCGAGGTTTATGGCTTTAGAAAGATCTGGAATTTCTTTCAAATATTTGGAACCACACATATTCATCTTTTTGAGTCTTCCAAGTGGCTGAAAATAAAATATGGAATTAGAGAATACACGTTCACAAATATTTTTAAACAGATTCATTTTAAGCTTTTCTAACATATATATGTTAATAATTATTCCACAGTTCTGTTCTAAAAATTGACAACTATTTCAATGAAAAATTAGTACCTGAGTTCCTTCCCACAGCTTCTCAAGCTTACTATCCACCATTATGAGTTCAACAAGATACTTAGCCTTAAATGTAGAAGGCAAAGACTTCAATGGAAAATTTTCCCATTCTAGCAATCTGAGTTTATAGGGCAAAAAAAAGAGACCCCGAGGTAGTTTTATATTAATTGAACAATTAAAAACTGATAGATATTGGAGATTATCCATGCCTTTGAACGATTTTTCATCTATTGATAATAATCGCTTTTCCCCGTAATCTGTGTAGAGACGTATTCCGACAGCAGTTTTTGTGCCCTGCAAAAAATCCGAAGAAAACTATACTCTTATCAACCGCAACAATTTTTATTAAAGAGCCACGTTTTAATTAAGCAAGAGGCAACAATTGCTAAAGTTTATCAATACCCATATGACGATTATATTAATAATAGAGTCATGCATTCAAGGGCAGCTGCTAAAAACTTACAGTTTTCTCGGTAAGTACTTCTTCAATATCCTCAAAATTCGTCAGAAATCGACGTTTTCGAAGATTACCATTGCACTCTGCACGATCAATTTCTCTACCCAACTTCTCTAGCAAATTGTGCATCTCTATATATCCTTTGGGTGTAATACGCATGAGGGACTTATCAACCAACGTTGTAAGCCCAACATTATCTTTACATAAATCATCGACGGAACTGACTCTAAAACCATTGAATAAACACGCGATGTGAAGGAACATATCTTGATCTTCTTTATCTAATCTATCGTAGCTGACTCTTAATGTTTTCATAATATCTCCGTTCAAACCATTTCGGAGCCTAGGCATCATCTCCATCCATTCATCTTTGTCCCTTCCTTTTAAAGATGAACCCAAGATACTGAGACCCAAAGGAAGATTACCGGTAAGCTTGGCAACTTCAACTGCTAGTTCCTTCAAATCATCAGGTGGAGAGTCTTTCCCAAAAGCAGACCGGCATAACATCTTAAGAGCAAGACCTTGAGATGGCAGCTTCACCTCATATAAAAGGTCAATATCATGAGCCTTAAGAAGTTGCCTATCTTGAGTGATCACAATCATTCTACTTCCAGGTCCAAACCATTCGGTTTTTCCCACCAAGGTCTTAAGAAACTCTAGATTATCCACATCATCAAGAAGGATAAGAACTTTCTTGTGCTTTAACCTTTGCTCCACCACACCAAAATGCTCCATATTTATGTCCTTTTGGCCTAAGATTTTCGAGAGAAGTTCTTTTTCCCAACTCAACTTCATGCCAGAGACGTCCCCACTGGTGCTTTTATAAGTTACGAAAGCCCGATGGTGGAATTGGCTAGAGAGTTGACTGAAAAGAGCTCTTCCTATGGTACTCTTACCAATCCCTGATTGTCCCCAAATCCCTACCATTCTAGCTACCTTGGATTCCAAGCACAATATTGATTTTATTTCCTCTATATGATCTTCAATTCCGACGAAGTCACCAAAACCCTTTGGCGGAGGGAGAAGTTTATTCGAAACATCATTGACTATCTTTTCAACCATATGCGCTTCATCAGGCCTAATAACAATAGTCAATAGTATCAATAAAGAGGCACCCTTAAAAGTTAAAAGCACAATCTAAGTCAACGCAAAAAAAGATAGTATAATTGTGCAATAATTAAAAACACACAGAGAAATAGTGGAATCAAAACAACATACCCGTTCCGAAGATCCTCCCCGGCTATATTTGATATATCTGTGAGAGCTTGCACCCATCTTTGTTTCTGATCCTCTGGTTTGTCCTCGCATGTTTTTTTAAAGACGTCGCCAAATTCACCGATCTGTTTTCTAACTTCCGAAGGATCAATGTAGTAGAAAACCGGAATCACCATTTGATCCAAGTCCTTGCAACACTTGTGGATCTCCACCAATTCATTCAAGCACCACGTGGAAGAAGCATAGTTCTTAGAGAAGATCACGATTGAGATCCTCGCTTCTCTAATCGCCGATATAAGCTCAGGGGCGATTGTGCGGCTTCTCTCGATTCCATGATCCATGAATGTATTGATTGATTTTCCGTCGAGAGCCTTGAGAAGATGGCTGAGGAACGTCTTGCGAACATCTTCCCCACTGAAGCTTGGGAAAACGTCGTATCTCCGGCTACCAGAAGAAGAAGAAGAAGCCGCCATTAGAGACGATAGAAAGAACTTAGAGCAGAGAAGAAGATTTGTAAGAGAAGTAAATCAGCAATACAACATAGTGTGAGAGAGAGAGAGAACGAAAGGAGAAACTTGGTATTCCTTTCCTCGAAGACTTGCATAGAAGACTTACTATACAAGATATTTTTTTAGTGGTTAAAATCAAATCCCCTAACAAGACAATTGAGACGTAATAATACAGAAACTTTCCTTTCCTCGAAAGCTTTTTTACTCTACGTACAAAGATATTTTTGAAGATTGAAATTTTGTGGTTGCCAGTTGTCACTGAATTATGATAAGTCGTAATTTCTAGGCAAATAGATAGAAACTTCACGTTCGTTTCCTCTACAAAGATATTTTGAAGACACAAATTTTGTGGTTGTCAGTTGTCCTTGTACAAGACAGTTTATCGTAAGAATGTCAAGCTTAACATCAAAGTCTTGTTTCCCTATACATACATGCACAGAGATTAGGAGACTAAGTACATCGATTATTAGGATTTCAATTCAAATAATAATACAGTGAAAACACTAACACAAAGACACAAACTACCTAGTTTGTTAAAATACTCAGTGGTGTGGACTGTGGACAGTGGAGTGAAGATTTTCATATACTTTTACTTTTACTTTTACAATTGTAATATTAGTTTAGAGTGTGGCTTACTGCGTCAGCAACCACTGTAGGCTGCGATTGCCATTGCTACTGTTTATGAAGCCTTTGGTTTCTAAGGGTTTCATGTACTGGAAGGAAGAAGTCGTGCCTTAGAGCATCCTCTGCGCTGATTCGTAGCCTCGGATTAACGGTTAAACATCTATCAACGAGGTCAAGGAGCGACCGTGGAATTGCGTCTAGAAACTCTCTGCGTTTTGTGTTGAGCTCGCACCATTTTCTCAACTCCATCCCCTTCAAGTACCTTGACTCGTACAATTCCTGAAACAACAACACAAAACTCTACATGAATTCATCTCTCACGATCATCTATCTAATCACTTTGATAGTAATTTACATTTTTAAGATATATCATGTTCTGGGAGTGCAGTAGAAGCAATACAACACAAAACGCTAACAATAAAAACCCTTTTATGTGAAATTTGAATCCACATGCTGGCAGTAAAGAAGAACAGAGCACGTATATTATATCATACAAATGTACGTGTACCAATCAAATGAATGAAGAGTTTGGAAGGGAGGTAAGATGAGATTTTACCTCAGGGAAAGAGGATTCACGGTTGTGCAGCTTGGCTACTTCCCATAATTCTTCACTGCCTCGTAGTTGCGCAATGTCCTTTATGTTCCTGGGAATCACAAGGTCGTTGTAAGAAGGCAAGAAAGAAAAAAGGAGTGGAATCGAGTAATGGTGTATTCAGTCAAGGCAGATCTTAACTGTTCAGGGTCACCAGTGAAAGGTGTCCTTCCCATTATGAGGTATAACAAAGTAACTCCTGCAGACCAAACATCTATCTTAGGCCCTTGGTGCAAAGATCTGAAGCAAACCTGCACAAAACCAAGTCAACCAAGAACAGCCTCATACAATTAGCTTTCCCATCCTAGATGTGCTAATGAGTGGCTCAGGCCTACAACTTTAGTCTCAAGGCACAAGATTTACATATGGATTTAACTAGTATTAAGGGATGTGAGCGATAGTTACAGTTGATGTACCTCTGGAGCTCGGAAGCCTTTGGTTCCTGAGCAAGGACCGTCTTTCTTCTGAATTATGTTCCCTACTAAAGTCAGAAAAAATATTCTTAGGGTTTAAATTAAACTATGAAACAAAAACAAGAGTCAATGACTACACCAGAACTGCACCTGCTTCAGGCCGACTAACAGAGTGCAGTGGCATTGGGGTCAGATAAAGAAGTTCCTTCTCAGCTTTCCCAGGAAGAGCAGCTACCCGTTTTCTCATAGACGTAGGAGCTTTGGATGATACTTCATGGTTTGGAATTGGAACAGACATTGTCTCCTGCAGAAAATCTAAAAGCGCTTTTCTTCCATGACATGGCAAAGGCTCTCTCCTCTTTTCACCTGAAGGGTTGTTCCTTGTGCTGGTCACATCTTTAGCTGAAGTTAAGCCAGACCCTTCTGCCCCTTGGCTATTGAGTCTCTCCCATCTGCTCATGTCATTCCGAGCTGTTGTCTTTCCCGCTGCTTTCTTGAGACTATTAGGCGTTAAAGTTTTCTGATAAGATTTGTTGGTCCCTCGGTTTGTCGCATCGAGTGATTTAACCAGTGTATGATGTTTCTTGCTGGCGGTTGGAAGACCAGCAGCTGCTTTTGATTTATCTACAGACCATAAAAAGAGATAGCTTTAGTTTTCATTTTTTATAGCCAAGTACAGAATATATGCATGAGGGGAGAAGTTTACCTACTCTCCTGTACTTCTGGTGCAAATCCTAATTGAGCGATGCAGGAAAAAAAGAGATTAATATCAGTGGGTGGGGAAGGGAACATATCAGTAAATTTTAACATAAACGTTTGTGTTCCCTCAAGTTTTTCAGTGCCTCTGTTAGACACTGACCTTAGAATTGAATAAGCAGGTCTTTTCGTTACTTCGAATTCTATTGTAAGAAACACTAACCAAAAACCGTTGCTAGGAAGATTTTGATAAGAGAGGGGTGCCAGAAAAATGCTAACCATGGCAAGGTTAAAATCAATGAGATAGCCTTTGTTTGTCTTCCTAGAGAAGAGGAAGTTTCCTGGCTTAACATCCCTATGAACAACACCCTTTAAGATTGCAAAAGAGAAACAATAGAACTAGTTAGTTGTGTGATTGAAATATGAATGCTAAAAAAAGTTCAGTCCAAAATCATTACCTGCTTATGCAGACTCGATAGAGCTTTGAACATGCAGTAGCCGTACCACTGTAGCTGATACACGTCTATTTCTCTCTTCAATGAATCAGGTCTGTCATGTTCAAGGTGCTCAAGGATGATGCAATCCGAATCTCCATTCTTGAGACAGCCTTCATGCTTTATTATACAGTTTTTCCCCCTAATGAACCAATATTTTCAGCAGTTTCAGATAGTTATGCTTGAAAATGTGGAAGGTTCATGCCTAATCATACTTAGTTACTAACCCAAAACGCTCCAGCATTCTGATTTCATTATTAACATAGTACTTCTGAGCGCCAGCATGAGGGCCTGCAAGGAAAACACATGAGGCAAGTCTTCCAACGAAAAAAACTGATGTAGTGAAAACATTTAGCCACATATCATTTTATTTCCCCTACATTTAATTGCAAACTCAGTTCCATCAGTTTTCCTCTTTGCCTTATAAACAATCCCGTAGCCACCTACATTTGGATTTCACCAGTGATTAGTCGATAACCAGTTAAGTTGTTTCAACAGAACGGGGAATATAGGATCAAAATAGTCCGGAAAGAAATACCTGAACCTTCTTCCTCTACAATAGTGTAAGAATCAAAATCTGGAATTGTGTTATGCTTTGCCTGATCCTAAACCACAAATATGAGAAGATACCTTTTAATATAGTGTGCATTAATGCTAAACTTTGGTGCAAGAGTGTTAACGTAGTTAGCATTATATAAAGGCCTCACTCTAGACGAATGAAGCATGTCTACCTTCTGATCTTTAGGTCGAACGGAGTTAACATTCTGCTTCGACTTCTGGATAGCTTTACTTTTTCTGGTATGTTTTTTCTCAGGGGAACAGCTGTATGTTTTGCTGTTTCCCGGCGATTTGCATTGATCCTGAGTTTTTTGTACCAAAGATTTATCTTGATTAGCTTCTTTAGCAGAAGGATTCAACGGCTGCTCTCTGACAGGGGTGCTACAGATGTCTACAGTGTGATCTTCTACAAGTAAATCTTCAGTATCCTCCACAATCTGCACTGGTTCTAACTCACTTTCTGTTGGCGTCGATGAGGCAGCAAGATTGGACTGCACATAGGGAGTTTGTATCTCCCCCTTAGGGAAGAGATCTTTCTTGTTTTTATCATCACCTTCTTCGAATAATATTTTCTTGTCAGCAATTTGAATATCTCCAATTTCAGGTTGCTCGCAATATCCATCCTTCTGAGGAAATGGCAAATCGTTCTTGCTTTCCTCTAAGCCCTGCGTAGGATTGACATCCACTGAAGCATTGGCCAAAATATCGAAACCAAAAATTCGAGTCTGCGGACAAGGCTGAGGATTACGATCAAAAGCTACTATATCTCGGTTACATGCACCTAACTTCAAAAGCGAAGCTTGGGATTCAAGAGCTCTAATTGTCCCAAGCATAGATCCACTGGCAACAGTTGTGATGTCGTTAGGTCTGCTATCTATTACAGAGTAATTCACCTAGAGAAAAGAATCAAATAACACAATAAATCAAAATCCCTTACTAAACTATACCGTGAGAACTTCATATATATCAATAGATTACTTACATCGTTTCCATTATTTCGGCTTCTTTTGGACAATGGCATGAGCGGTAGCTCCTCTTGTTCCGCATTCTCTGATACATTTCCATAAATAACCCAAAATTGAGAAGAGAATCTCTTTGTAAGTGTGACTAATAAACCAAAATAGCAGATAAAAATGCAAAAACTTAGTACCTCTCAAATGCTTAAGCTTGGGAGATCTCGGATCCATAAATTGTTCTAACACAACATTTTCCGGCAAACCTAAACTACAGGCGAAACTAGCCGGAGCGGAGGGAAACCCACGCGAGGGAGTCACAGTGAAGCCATCTCCAGCAAGAGAAATAGGAGAATTAGGGATCGAGCAAAGAAATTTGACGAGATTAGGAGAACCTTGGAAGTATGTACACTTCGTACAAAGATCTATAACAGATTCTGGATGACCAGCAGATAGTAGGAGACCACATAACTCAAAAGCTTGCCGATAATAATGGCTAAGTGCGTCGTTGCCGTCTGAAACGGTGAGACCAAGAGCAATGAGCTCTCTTCCGGCTGTAGAATTCTCGAGTTGACGCGGTTCAGAGTTTTCTGACATTGCAAATGCGGTGAATCTGAGGGGAGGAGGGAGAGAGAGAAGCTAGGGATTTGAGAATTTGAGATTTGGGGGCAAATGGAGAAGGAGCGGGAGAATGGCACGTGCGGTACGTGTGATATTTTGTTTCGAGTTTTTTTGTGCACATAAATGTTCCCGCTCATTTCTTTACCAGCTGGATTATTACGGCCTTATGCGTCTACAGGCCCATTTTAAATGAGCCCATATAACCTGGAAATCGTTTCATGGCCTAGTGAAGGGAATGACTGAATTAGACAGCTAGACCTCAATGCAAATTATAAGTTTTATGTTTTTAATTTTTTTTTTCAAAATTGTATACATCTTTTAGTATTTTTCATTAGATTTTTCTTTTTCAAATAATTATAAACGGATACATTGATTAAAAAAATCGCTGGTTTTTTTCGTTACCATCTTGGTTATAATCGAGGCATTTTGTACTTTTTTTTTTTTTTTTATATACCTGATCGGCTGATCCGGTCAGCCTCGGTAGGAACGCACCGGAGTGTTACAGAGTGGACTCACTACCACCCCGAGGGATGGGCTACCACACTGCCTGATCCGAGTTTGGAATGCTTTCCGACTACTACCAGGGGGTATCTGGATCGCCTGTTACCTGACTATCAGGTAAACTGCCTGGGCCGAAGCCCAAGCCCAGACTTCCCAACAAAATGTTGATAACAGCGAGGGATGAAGATCGAACCCGGATTCGGGGATTTCACCCTCAACGCCGGACTCGCCCTACTACTCGCCCACCACCTTGCGGGCAGCATTTTGTACTTTGAAGCTTCTAGATGGCCTATTTTTCATAATCAAGAAATTTTAGACTGAAACCTATACTATTCTCCGGATTAAAAAAAACTTAGCAATCTTGTTGTTTAATGTTTTTGTGGTGGTTGACAATTGAAGTTATAGCGAAAAGATTCAAAACTTACTTTTAAAACTAACATAATCGACCTTTCAACCGTTAAACCATCGTGAATTGGTTGTAGTCTTGTATCTAATTTTTTAGAGCAGTGTAATTATTCAAGAGGATCAAATAATTTTTTGCAATTCGAACAAACCGATTCAGTTTACAACATACAAAGGGATCGGAAAGCTGGAGTTTGTGGTTATAGAAAACACCAATCCTCGTCGATCTCAAATCAAAACAATCTTATAATACATATATATGCATGCAAGAATATATGTATCATGTATGTATGGATGGATCATGAATGGTATAATGTAAAGATGGAGAAAGAGTAAATGAGGGCCAAAGAGTGCTCGTGAGAGACAAAGAAAAGGGTAATGGGGTAACCAAAATGTCGGTTAGTGGGTGCGGACATAATATTGGCCGTGGAGCCAAATTAGGCTGTGTGACTAAATACAACACAAATGGTCCCTTTTGTTTTTCGTTTTTTGTTTTGTAACATAGCATTATGCTCTTTTATCTTTTCCTATGTAAATTTTGTCTTTTCCTAATAATATTATATAGTATCTTGATATGGTTATATTTTCAGTTAAATTATCAAAAAAAAAACAAAATGAACATTGCTCTAGCATATCAATGGCTAACATCAGTAATGACCTGTTCTAATAAATTTGATATGGCCCCTTTAAAACCAACCCGTGAATCCGATTGATCTTTCCACTGTGTCTATAAATTAAAAGAAATATAAAGAATAAATATAAAACGCATTGTAATCATAATAGCCCCCATTCCTATATATATATATATATATATATATATTGACTATTCTATTTGTACTTACAAAGAGATTTCACTTTGGAATTTTCATCTTTTTTTTTGTTTACAATATGTGGAGGAAAATAAATCAGCATCTCATACCTATCTATCGACTGATACGTGTCACACAATGTATCCAACGATCCAAAATTATAAAACAAATAATCTCTAAATATATATCCAAATAGCACAAAGAACCTTCACTTTTCTCTCCAACTCTTTCTTTTACTACTCTCTCACATATCTCTCTCTATATATCACTTTACATAAACCACTATTCCACTCACATGCAAGCACACATAGCCATGGCCTCTTCTTCTTCTTCTTCTTCACAAGCCTTCTTCTTGCTCACATTGTCTATGGTTTTAATACCCTTCTCTTTAGCTCAAGCTCCCATGATGGCTCCTTCTGGCTCAATGTCCATGCCCCCAGCGATGTCTCCGATGCCAATGATGACTCCACCACCCATGCCTATGGCTCCACCACCTATGCCTATGGCTCCACCACCAATGTCCATGGCTTCACCACCAATGATGCCAATGACTCCCTCTACAAGCCCAAGCCCACTAACAGTTCCGGATATGCCTTCGCCGCCGATGCCATCCGGAATGGAACCTACACCTTCTCCGGGACCCATGCCACCGGCAATGGCGGCTTCGCCGGATTCGGGAGCTTTCAATGTTAGAAACAACGTCGTAGCACTTTCATGCGTTGTTGGAGTTGTTGCAGCTCATTTTCTCTTCGTTTGAGTTGATTATTGAATTGGTCAGCCTCGTTTTCTTGTAATTTACTTTCATTTTTTTCTCAAATTATTAGTGTGTTCATCATTTTATTATATTTGAGTTTGTGTTTGATGTACGATTCAAACATTTGTTTGCATTATGTGCTTAATAAGTTTATCGTTGACTCTAGTTGAAGAGAGACTTTGTATGTGATGTAAATTTCTTCTTTATCTATTAAACATTGCATTCGTAGTAGGACATAAATATGGTTACAACTTGCAAGGAGATACCACAATATGATCAATACCTCTCGTTGTTAGTCGTCGATGATATCGATGTATATAGTCACAAGAAAAAAGAAAAAAAAAAAATAAGGCAATGCGTAATTCCTTTTAACAAAAAATACGTTAATTCAGAAATGTTATTTTCATAAATCTTTTAAATATGTTCTTCCTAAGAATCAAAAGAGACAAACCAAAGAAAAAGCTAAGGGGGGTGTATTCAATAAAGGATTTGAAATGATTTGTATTAAAAAGATAAATCCTATGTTATTCAAACATGAATTTTAAAAATCTTTTTAAAATCAAGTGTTATTGGATTAGTGATTTTAAAATCTACAATCAAATCCACTGTTATTGAAAACATTTTAAGTTGTGGATTTGAAATGACTTGAATGATTTTTGGTGGGATTTCAGAGAACATCTTAGTTAAAAATTCAAAGATCCAAATCTCATGGTTTTAGGTGGAATTTGGGAGAATTTTGATATCAAATTCCCTAATTCACCAAAATTCACCAAAATCATCTCAAAACTCATTAAAACTCAAATCACTCCAAATTCTTTCTTCAATACACCCCCCTAAATTTGCAAGCTGTCATTTGAATTGTCTATAAAATTTTCCTATATATTACATTTATTTTATCTTTTCATTTTATTTTTCTAGAGGTTATCTAGAATACATGAATAAGATTTAAATTTCAAGAAAAGTGAGAAAATTCCAAGCATGCATGTTGAATTTGAGAATGGAAGAATATGAAGAAGGGTGGGTATAGTGAATAAATGGTAGGGAATTTAGATATGCCCGACCCAAGAGGACAGCTAAAAAGAAAGTGACGTTCACATGACTGTCTTTCTCAATTGCCCATTTGCCCATTTTATGATTTTAAGAGAATATTTGGGAAGAACTATATTTGAGAATATAAGAGAATATATTTTCTAATGTGTATTACTAATAACAGAAATCATACGTTTAAAAAGAACTATATAGAAAATTTTATACATATATCTACATTTTCTTTGTTCAAGTCTTGTTGATAATTTATTATTTTGAAGAAGATGCCTAAGCTTTCTAAAGTAATTGCGGTAAATATATGTTCATTTGTAAAAACGACCGATGACAGAATCGTAAATAAGATTGGATTATTTATTGCATAGTATGTTTTAAAAACAATATCATGTATATTTAGCATGGATTCTTTCGCACTAAATTCTCTATAAACCATAAAAATGTGGTAGGCATGAGTTTTAACTTTTAACACATCAGAAATCAACGAACCATAGTTTTTAGATGGAAAGGGATGCCTAATCTCCAATTTCTAAAAGTTATCAACGGGACTAGTAAAGGAAACGTGTATCTACCCCAAGGCCTCGACCCTCGTTTAGTTACCCGGTAGCTCAAACGTGTATTTACGTTTAATTTCTTAGTATATCTATCAATGTTATTTATACTCTGAATGGTGACAATGTATAAACCGCAATAGAGCACTAATTCACATGCTCTTTGTTGCTGCTCCGTACACCGCCACCATCAGTATATTTCTCAGTATGTTTATTGAACTTATGAATTGAAGAAGTTAGTGTCACCATCTTGTTTTCGTCCAGTTCGTTTACTTCCCGCTGCTGACGTTAACTTGGAATCTCTCAAGGACCCAAATCTATGGAAATGCTTACTGTTGAAAAGTTCCCTTAGATTTCCAAAAACATTCAAGGTATTTTTTTGTTAATGTCTTACAACATTTGCTTCCCGGTGAGGAGGAGACCATCTTGTTTTTCTTATTCCTTGCTATATAGCATTTGCTGCTTGCTTGAATCCCAAGAAAATTTAACCTCTATTGCAATTAATCAATGGGTGAATAATGTCATCAATAGTGATAACTGGACAAGATTTTTAAAAAGTGCCACAAATACAAAAATTTGAAAGTAAATTTCATAATTATGCCTTACTGTTTTTTTGCGTGGTGTTGATGAGCCGTTGACGTATAGAGGAATAGGATGTGGCCTTATTTGCTGTAGGATGTGGCCCTAACCCTAATAGGATGAGAAATCTTTGCTCAACTTGGCTTTGAGTGGAATCAACCTTGAAGTATCCTTCTCAAAAAAAGTCTTCTCTTACGTCTTCTTCACCGCCCCAATCACCTTCATCTCTTCCGATCTGTATAAACTTCAGAATGCTTTCCCTTGAGAATGTTTGCCTCTTCTTTCTATAGTTTTCCATGAAGTCTTCTTCTTCTTCTTCATCTTCTCGTTGCTGGAGATACGATGTTTTCCCAAACTTCAGAGGGGAAGATGTCCGCCAATCATTAATCAGCCATCTTCGTAAGGAACTTGATGGCAAATTAGTCAATACATTCAACGACACCAGGATCGAAAGAAGCCGCAAAATAAACCCAGAGCTTTTATTGGCGATAGAAGGGTCTAGGATCTCACTTGTCGTCTTCTCTAAAAACTATGCTTCTTCCACGTGGTGCTTAGATGAATTGGTGAAGATCCAAGAGTGCCATGAGCAGTTGGATCAAATGGTGATTCCTATTTTCTACAACGTAGATCCCTCTCATGTTAGAAAACAGACCGGAGAGTTTGGTAAGGTCTTTGTAGAGACCTGCAAGGGCAGAACAGAGAATGAGAAGCGAAAATGGATGCGAGCTCTAACAGAGGTAGCAAATCTAGCCGGTGAAGATCTTCGGAATGGGTATGTTTTTAATTTTTTTTTTTTTAAGTTTTTTTTTTTAATATCTGTAAGTTCAAGCCCGAAAGCCCTACATCTCTCAGAAGCGGGATCCACACCAGGTTAAATTCATCTCCTTCGGAGAAGAGATCTTTTCCAATGGGCGTCGAACCCAGTACCTTCACCTGAGAGATTTACCACTAGGCCAACACAACTTTGGTCTTATTTTTTAAGTTTATATATTCAGAATTAGTTCCATTGGATAGACTCCGATTCTATATGCTTTTAGGGATGTTCATTGATAACAGTTGACTGTTGTTATTGTTATGTAGGCGTAGCGAAGCAGAAATGCTTGAAAACATTGCCAAAGATGTTTTAAACAAACTTATTACCCCATCAGATAATTTCAGTGACTTCGTCGGGATTGGAGCTCATATAGAGACATTGATATCAATGTTGCGCTTCGACTCAGAGAAAGCGCGAATGATAGGGATTTGTGGGCCTTCCGAAACTGGTAAGACTACCATAGGAAGAGCTCTATACAGCAAAATCAAAAGCCACTTCCACCATCGGGCTTTCGTAGCATACAAGAGAACAATGCCGAGCGATTATGACCAGAAGTTGTATTGGGAAGAACAATTTCTATCAGAAATTCTTTGTCAAAAGAATATAAAGATAGAGGAATGTGGTGTGGTGGAACAACGACTAAAGCACAAGAAAGTTCTTATTGTTCTTGATGATGTCGATGATATTGAGCTACTAAAAACGTTGGTAGGACGAATCAGATGGTTTGGATCTGAGAGCAAAATTGTTGTGATTACTAAAAAAAGGGAACTTCTCAAAGCTCACAAGATTGCACATGTTTATGAAGTGGAATTCCCATCAGAAGAAATGGCTCATCAAATGTTTTGTCGATATGCTTTTGGGAAAAACTCCCCACCTCATGGTTTCAGCGAGCTTGCATTTGAAGCTGCAAAGCTTGCCGGTAATCGTCCTAAAGCTCTGAAGCACTTTGGCTCGTCTTTTAGAAGGATATCGGACAAGGAAGAGTGGGCGAAGATTCTATCGGTACTCTGTAATGAGAATAAACTAAAAATCAGCTATGATGGGTTAGATGGCAAAGGTCAAGGTTACATTGCGTGTTTAACCAATGGTGAGGAAATCAATATTAAAATTTTGTATGGAGATAGTGTTAACACTGAAATTACCATTATTGTTAATAATTCCCTCAAACACATATGCATGCAGGTTCAAATTCACAGTCTCAAAGAAACATGGGCGCAAGCTCAAGTGTTTCCCAAGTGAAGGCAGAGTGGATCCACTTGGCACTAGGCGTGTCTATATTACTTAATATCCGCAGTGACGGAACGACATTTCTCAAACATTTGAGCTACAAGTAATGTGGGATCTAAGCTTATACAATGTTACCCTCTCTTTTTGCATAGTAATCTGTTGGGATCCAAAGTAATAATCTAGGATTTATATCAATCAATCTAACAATAAGTGGTTGTTTACAGTCGAAGCGTGGCGCAACAAGCAAAAATATGGTGGTACGAGAATTGTGAAAGAGTGTACAAGAAGTACAATATATGTGGCATAGATAGCTCAACTGATGGTGGTGGTAAGAAAGTTTGTGACGGTGGGTTAGACGGCAAAGATCAAGGTATTGTGTGTTTATTGAATTTGATCATTTCAAAAAGTGTTAAGATTTATGGACCTAGAATCATAGATGAGAAGTTCTCATTTGTTTTCGTGATCAGATGCATCATCTTGATACATTCACAAAACATTCTTCGCTCTTGTCCAACTTAATTGGTATTTGCATATACATGATACATTTAGATGTCAACCTAATTGTATGAAAAATATAGATATTTGGTTGCACAAAAATGTAGAGTTTCGATGTATGTTTTGCAATGAAACTTGACAAATCAAAAACCAAAAAAAAAAACCTTTATAAAACTTAGGACAATTCTCAAAAATACCATGATTCAATTTTGGTTTTCCAAAAATAAAACAAAACTAAAATTTAACTTTCAACTTTTAAAAGTAAACCCTAAACACTAAACCAAACTCCCTAAAAACTATACCCTAAATCTAAAATCTTCAACCAAAACCTATAAATTTAAATTTTAAACTCTTTTTTTTGTCAACAGCTTTTAAATTTTAAACTCTTCAAGATCAATTTTTGTGTTTGTTGTATTTTTAAGAAAGCAAAATTTATGGTAGTATTTTTGGAACAATAAACTAATAGTAGTATTTTTGACAATAAAAACTTGAAAATGTGGTATTTTAAAAAATTTCTCGAAAACAAAGTAGCAAAATATTGATTTTTTTTTTTTTTGCTCCAAAGCCTGTGACCTAGTTTATTCATCACAGAATTAAAATAAATTACATTTGCATCAAATTCGAGAGATTATGATTTTATGCCCAAATTACGGAATCTTGGCTTGGTGCGAAAATTTTGACGCCAGAAAGCAGAATTATATTTTTGATGCAAAAACTGTGAAACTTCTATTTAGCGTCAAACATGTGGAATTTTCTTTCTTTTTTTTTTGAAATTTTGATAATGTGGAATTTTGTTTTGGTTGAAAATTTTAGAATCAGGCTTTGACCCCAAAATTAATAACTCAAATATTCTATATTTTGATTTTCTATATATATGCTTTTAATATTTGTTCTTCTTGAAAATCTAATTTTCAAATTTAGATGTAGAAAAATAAATTAGTACTAGATCATCTCATTCAAACATCATTATAAAACCAACAAACAACCAAAATCCAGTATCCAGATGCAGAAACCAATCTTTGTAGAATAACTATCTTTTTTATCCTTAACGTTTATGCCTACAGGTTCAACGTATGGACAAAGTTCAAATTCTGAGCTTCAAATAAACATGGACGCAAGCAATAGGAGATATGAACCTGTGAGTGAGACGCTTTTCAAAAATTACGATGCGTATTTGCCGAATGGTAAGGGAAATGAATCAAATGATATTGAAAACTTGCATGGAGATATTGTTATCTGGACTTAGAATTCTTGCTGATAAATCCCTCAAGCACATATGCCTGCAGGTTTAACGGATGGAAACTGTTCAAATACCCAGCCTCAAAGAAAATTGGACGCAAGCCTAAAGAAAGACAAAATTGTGCATGAGTGGATTCGAACCGGTAGTGGCTTCTCTTTTGATTTTCAGGGCCCAAAATCTATAGTGAGTGCTGCTCAAGTGGAGGAGAAAAAGATCGAGTGTGGAGAAGGCGTGTACATAACACTTGGCAGGCTCAGTGGCGGAATTATAGTCCTCAAACATTTGGAGTTCAGGTAATGTGAAATATATTCTTACGTACGTACTACTCAATATTTTCTGGATACTACCCTTTCTTTTTGAATCGTAGTTTACATAATCTTCACTAGTGATCTAGGATTCATATATTAGTCAATCTAACTATGAGTGGGTATTTGTAGCCGAAGAGTGGCGCAACAAGCAAAAGTTTGGTGGTCGGAAAATTGGATAAAAGTGTACGAGGAGCACAACATCTGTGGCATAGATAAATCATTTGATGGTAGGTTTGATGATAGACGTGTCATTTGTCAATTAAGACCAAACTGAAGCCCGGCCTGGTCCTTAAAATAGTCAGGACTTGAGCTATATACTTAAGCCTAAAAGCTTGTCTGTTTGGCTAAGGGCCTGACTGGTTTAAACGCAGCGGTTGCGGTTGCGGTTGCGGGAGTTTGCGGAAGCGGGCGGTTGCGGCTTTAAGCGTTATCAAGCGTTTTGAACGACTGGTTTAGCGTTTGAAAATGGGAGCGTTTGCGGGAGTTTTATGACTGGTAAACCAGCGGGTGCGATAGCAGTTAAATAAAAGAATGAACAAAATAAATAAAAAAATAATACAAAAAAAAGAAATAAAAACACCAATATATTATTATGATAATATTAGAAAAATTTGAACATGCTTAATAATTAAAACCATAGATAAAGTACTAAATAATTATTCAAAAATAAAGAAATTTTGTAACAAGATAGTACTTTATGCATCTGGTTTAACATAAAAAATTGCATTAAGTAATGGGAAAAACTGTAAATAACGTTGAATTCAATCAAAAAGCAAGTGAGTTTCTATTCGAGAAAACAAATCGAAACATATATTCAATCAAAAAGCAAAGCAATACGTAATGAAAATAAAAAAAAACGATGCCATGAAAAATATTCAAAAAGTTACACATGAGGTGATGAAAGAATAAAAGGATATATGATACTTACATTTGGTTATTGATTTTCATCAGTTTGGGTGGAAGACATTGAGAGAATAGAGTTTTAGAATATTATTAGAGTTTCTGATGAGAACGTGATACAAAGATGAAAGATATATATATAGGATTAATATATATTATAATAATTATAAGTAAATGTTTGATTTTGTTTTTTTTTTTTTTTTTTTTTTTTTTATAATCCAACCGCTACCGCCCGCAACCGCAAACGCTTGCGGGAAGGAGCTTTTGAAATTCAGCGATTTCGAGCGGTTCGAAGCGGGACGCAGCAGTTTCTATGATTGGTTTCAACCGCTAACAACCGCAACCGACCGCTAGCAACCGCTAGGAGGGTGCTAGCGGGAGAACCAATCAAGCCCTAAGTCTGGTCAGGTTAGCCCGAAATTGTCGAAATCTGTTTAATAATTGCATTTAGTGCAAGTCTTTTATTTGTACTTCATGGCTTTAATACATTAAGTAATTAGTACCTGGTTTTTTTTTTTTTTTATATATGACACAGTTAATTTGAGAATTTGATTTGGATAAACGCTTCATCATTTCATACAACAACGATTCGTTAATTCAAAGAATTTTTGTATTGATCAATCTGGAAACTGAGCAAGTGTTTTATACACACCAAAACAATCTCACTTCTGTTAATTCTCAAAGATCCAACCAAACTTACAAGACTCGTGTGAATCAAACTGCAGATATATTTAAAAAGCCGATCTTAGACTTGTCATGCCACTCTCTTTGTACAGCTCTTAGGGACATGAATACAATGGAAGTTTGGTCCCTTTGGGACAGTTACAGGTCTTTTCTCCCCTGAAGCAACAACACAAACAGAAGGTTTGTTGATGATTGCAACTTCTTTAGATTCTCCATTCATCTGCGAGGCTTGCTCCGCGGTTTCGATTCTTTTCCTTGCCACTTGCTTCTTTCTACCTAATGCAACCCTGAGAAAATGCACAAAATTTTCAGATTACATGCCAAGAGAAGGGGCAACTGCTATGACAGTCAAAATTCGTTTGCCCGGTTCTCTCAAGTGAGAGATTACACTTTGTCTTCTGCAGTTTTTACCTCTTGCAATCCACCATATTTTCAGAGACAAGTTTTGTGGATGTTCCTTTTGAAGCTTTTAACCGGGAAGTCGCGTTCTTCTCCAACTGCATATGAGATTACTATATCAGAAAAAGAAACACTTACACGATGAACATGTATCAATATGCTACAGAAAGAACTTACTCGAACTTGCTGATGTTTTGGACCCAAGTTTTCACCATGGAACCCAAGAGTGCTTGCAGTTTCTTCTTTGGCAATAGTACATTGTGGTTTCTTCTCTGTATTTGCTTCCTTAAGAATTCCTCTTTCCTATAAAAATGTAAATTTCCTTCCATCAGAAACACAAGAGTTGCGTATTACAGAAAAAGCAGCTTTGGTGGGTTGTATTATTGCATCATACATCGGTTCTAAGTCGAAAAGGCTTTGGATTCGTGAGCTTAGGTTTTGTATACTTGACACGGGTATCAGCTGAAACAGTCTTGCCATTGAAACACTTGTCTGCTACTGTCATAACCTGGTTCATACAAATACATATAAATACACAGAAGATGATAAGTAGAGCCCAATTAGAAAGTACACAGGCTATGTAACATACCTTTTGAGTAGTTTTACAAATTTCTTTCTTGCCAAAAACTTTCTTTTTCAACAGAGGATAGGTGGCTTGGTCGACTTTTCTGCAAGATTCACACAAAACAAGTATATCTATGAGCTGATGTGCAAAAAGGAAAGCAAATAAACAGCATTTTCCTTACCTGTTATTGTGCAAGGCTGAAGAATTTTCCTTATCATCGCCTTCCCTATCGACAGCTGTTGCATTAGTAGCATTTTCTTTCTCACACTCCAATGGTAATGCATTTTCCTTGTCTTCAATCTCCACAGTCTCACATTGCTTTGCTTTATCCATTCCACTCACCTTAATCACAGGAATATCTTCTTTATCGACAGCCGCTGCAATAGTAGCATTCTCTTTGTCCTCGCACTCCAAAGCTAATGCATTCTCCTTTTCTTCAATCTCTGCAATTTGATATTGCGTTGATGTAGCCAGTCCACTCTCCTTTATTACAGCAAGATCTTCTCTGGCCTGTAGTTGATCGTCCATGTTAGCCTTCAATGTGTCTGACAATTCTTCAGATTTGTTTTCAACCAAGAGCTCTTCATCTCCAGTAGTATTTTCAGTCTTTGGCAAAGATTGATTCTCAAGTTCCATACCATTAGCTTCATGAGGTTTAGAAGTATCAGAGGAAAGCACAGGCTCTTCCTTTTTCTTGATCCTCTTCTTCAAAGTACTGACACCTTTGTCTTTTTCATCAATCTGTTTCTGTGACCGCACAGAATAATCAAACACTCGGCTCTTCACCTCTCGTGTTTTTAGCGGCCTTCTAGATGGCGCTAAACTCACAACCTTATGATTAATCCCTAAACCATTTCTTTTGTTATCAATCTCAAGCTTCCTCATCCCATTACACAACTTCTTCACCGAAGAACTAAGCTCCACAGATCTCTTCAGTTTCACCAATTTCTTTGGTGATTGAAACACCAAAGCCTTTGCAACAACTCTGTTTTCAGACACCTTGATTGTTGCATTTCTCGGATTCTGTACACTTCTAAAAGCTGCTGGACTCTGAATTTGCTTCTTCCTCTCAGTTAATGCCTTCTTAGGAACTGATGAGATCACTGATGAATCTTTTCCTTTTGCCTTTGCCTTTGGAGTCACATTCTTATTTGTGGAAACTACTTTAACTTCTTTTGACCTGATATTGCCATTACCCTTCTGAGGAATTGATGAGATCATAGCCAATCTAGACACCCGTGATCTCGAGGGCTTTGCAGGAACGGTATTGGGACATTTAGGATCAACACTGCAATGACAATTTACAAACGTATGTAGCACAATGCAATGTTAAACACACATTACAGTGATTGATCTCTCTCGAAGTTCAAAAACACATTCCTCATAAAGTTTGAGTTCCATTACCTGAAATCCTTTCTATAAAGAGCTTTTCGAAGACGAACACTTGGACTCCTAGCTGCCATGACCTATTAATATTGATTAACATCGAATTCTTAAGTTAATGATACTTTTAAAACGAAATCAAATCAAGGAAAAGAGGAAAATAATTTTGAATCTTTAAGCTAACCCGAAGAACGAATTTTTTGTAGATAGCTTCCGAATCCATGAACTCTTCATGCTTCTGATCACATCCTAAGTACACATTATCATCAAGAAACCAAAAAGGATCAAAACACAAACTAATTTAAGTCAAACCTAAAAAAAAACTGTTCACTAAAACCCTAATTTAGCAATTTTCAGAAAATCTAAAAATCAAAATTTCCCAGATCTCTGGAACATTAATGGTAGTACTAATTCTTGATTTGAATTTCAAAAGTAAAAAGTTAAAATTGTAAAGAGAGTGTTCTGACCAACTCTGGAACAGAACCAGTAACGATCATCTCCTTCAGGGCGATGATCTGGTGCGGTGAGGTCTACAAACTTGGGAGCTTCTATCGTCTCGTAGAAGTCTTCTTCGTTAAACTCGTCCACTATCAAATGCTCGAATGCCTCCATTTTACACTCAAAATTATCAGAAAATTAGAGATTCACAGAGAGGAAAGAGAGGAACAGAGAGAAAGAGAGAGAGAGGGTAGTGTCTAATTTGGTGCGTGTGTCTAGCTCAGACAAGATGAAGGAACATTCACCAAAACTAGCCGTTAAGTGGAAAGGATTGTAATAATGGTCTCCTTCCAGGGTTATTTTCGTCACGAAAGTTTGATTAACTTTGAGCTCCAACGCATCTTTTTCATCCTGAGTAAAGTAAATCTGAGGAAAGAAAGAGGATAAAGACGAAGTTAGACCGGTTCTTTTAAACCGGCATCTCCACAGAACCAAACCAAAAATTATAAAAACTTCTATTATTTCTATCTGTCTCTAACGCCAATGCAGGCAAATCATTTTTGCTTTGTTTGCTTCGACAGATTCAAAATCCGTTTTTAATTTAACTGATGAAAGTAAAAATATTGGACAATGCATGACATTTTTTTTAAAATGTAAGCGTTTAAATATTCAATGTGAAATCGTTACTTATAATCAAAATAATTGGTTTAATTAAAGAGTTTGGAGCCTAGTAATGAAGTTCAATTTGACGCAAACAAACAAACAACGGAATTGATCAAAGGAATTTATTTCAACGGCTACTTGTGTGAGACTTGTGAGACTCTCGAGAATCTAACAACAACGGCTATACATGTGACTGGAAAAGCTAGAGTTTTTGAGCCCACTATGCCAAGTTCTGAAAAAGGCCCACCACAAATTTTAAAGGCCCACTTAAGCGCACTAGAGGAACGAGACAGAAGCAATGGGTATAATCTCCACGTCAAGCGAGCGATCGGTGACGGTGTTATCTTACCGCCGGTGCCGGAGTTTCCCAGTATATTGTAGTAACGATATCTCGGCCGGAGTTTCTTAGTGAATCCAAATCGTTGTTCTTCGTTGCGGCTTCAACTCTCGCTTGTTAGTCTGCAGAGTCGGGTCTTTTGAGCTATCTCATTTTGCGCGTTCTCGTTTTTCGCCGTTTCCGATTTCCAGCGAGTACGTCTCTGTCGATCGGTAATTAATTACCTAGTTGAGGTTCGTTGCATAATTTCCACTTTGAATTTTCTTTTAGATTCCCTCTGAACTGATTTTCTAGGCGTGGACCTCTACGATTTCGTTCATTTCCTAGTCGTCGATGCGAATGTTCCAGCGTTTGATCTTTAGATCTGTAGTTCGATTTTAGACGAAGGAAACATCTTTAGTTCGAATTACTTCTTCGATTTCTCTCAGCTTTTAAGTTTGAGGATATTAATGTTTGTTTAACAACATCACACATTTCATCTTTTGACTGTGATAATGTCAAATCAGCAGAATCCATTAAACTAATTGATTTTGTTCTTCATTGAATGTTTGTTTGGTGTCTTGCAGGAAAGATGAACAAGCTGTTGGAGTATGGGAGAAAAGCTATGTTCTATGTGAGAGTTCTCTCTGGCTATGAAGAGAGGAGAATCCGTAATTACAGGTTGCAACTCGAAAAGCGTATCCAGCAGGTTTTTTTTTTCTCTCTTTTTCAACATGCCTCAATCTATTTTCTTAGCATAAAATGGTAGAATAAGATGATTAAACCCTGCTTTTGGACTATAGTTGATCGCATAAATTTGAATAACCCTTGACTATTTGATTGTGAGGATGAGGAATTTAAGAAACTTTTATGTCTGTCTATAAACATTACCAATGTTTTTTATTCATTGTTAATGAAAAGTTTATGTATGCAGGATACTCACTTCAATGTGTACTTCTAGTTTATGATAATTGAATAATATCTATAAACTATAAAAGGCTATGACTTATTGTACATTTTGAAGACTGTGAAGTTAGATCTTCCTTCCATCATAGTTTCCTAATCGTATAGACTTCTGTGTTTCATCTGTTTAACAATACTTGTGACTTCTAGCTTCTAGCTTGGGTTGGTCATGGTTACCTTTTTATCTGATTCAAACCTCTGGTCTTGCAGGCTAACCAAAGGAAAGCAGAGATAAACAGACTCCCAGAGCAGATTGTATTATCTGAAGTCCGCCGTATGGTTGAGGAGATGCAGAATTTGAATAAGCAGATTGAAAATACGGTTAGTCTCTTGTCTTTACCCTCGGCCCAAAGTTTGCTAATGGTTGAGTTTATCCTTTGTTTAATATCAATTATATATATATTTAAGTGTGGTGAAAAGTGTTTGAGATATTGTTTCCTAACTGCTTTTGGTTCCAAAGCATTCATAGAAGAGAAAACACTTTTAGTTTCTTGGCGTTTGAGATATTTGAAAGCATAATTTTTTGGAAGAAAAGATCGAAACCAGTCACCAGAGTCTGTGTTTCATAAATCAGAAAGATTTCATCTTTTGTTCTACTTTTGTCCATGTTAGGAAAATTTCAAGTCTTAAGTTTGTTTTGGGTCTTTACCAATACAGGAGGCTCAAATTGAAGACTACTTCAAACCGATAGACAAGCATGCTAGTACCATAATGGAGATTCAGCTCGAAGGAGAGAAGAAAACGATGGGGACAATGATGAACGCAACACAACAGGAAGCTATAAGAAAGATTGAAGAAGCTGAGAGACTCGCTCGAGCACGTGGGAATGCAAATGTGACCGCAGAGGCAAACACGGGAGATAAGATCCAAGATTCAGAATCCTCAGCCAACGAAAAAGCTCAAGCAAAATGAAGACAGAAATCGTCTTCATGGCGACACAGAATAGATTCAGAGCCTCTTACATCCAAGGTTTCAGGTTCTCTTAGTTGATTAAGCTGGGATTGTAGCCTCGCATTTGCTGGGTTTTTAATAAATTGAAATTTGGTCGACTGAATAGAAACAAGACCGAGATTGTGGTATGCGTAGCGTGCAAGAACTTATAGAGGTGACCCTGGTTGGACTAATCCCCAAACGACCAAGTTTTGTCAATATGAGTTGTTTCATCAAACTTAACCTTGCATCTTACATAACAGGAGTATATCTAGAAGAAGGTTACTATTGCCTAATAAGTTTACTGTGATTTACAATGGGTCTAACAAACTAAAGGTTTCAACTTCGTAATGTCTACCGACAAATAGTCTATAACTCTATATACATCATGGTTTTCGACAAGAAAGCTTGTAGTTTGACACTACCCATGTTTTTCTACCCGGACTGGAGCTGTTTGTGGTGCCTGGTGCGCATGTGTTAGCAGGATAAGAACTATGGTAACTAATAGAGTAACAAGACATCAAATCGCTACTCTTCTTTCTCTTTCTGCTGAAACCTCACGAAAAATGTATATTGTAGAATTGAAGCATGATATGTTTTTAACACGAGAAGAAAATGTGAGTTTCTTCTTGTCACTTGGTTTGGTTATGAAGAAACTCACGCATCTGATTGTGAACTTCGGATTTCACAACAAGTCGCATTCTCTTAGAGTCTTCCCAAAGAAGGCCTCCCCATTCCCGAGCAAAGTCACACGCTGCCTCAAACACATCCTGCCAACATGATTTTGGTTACTGAGATTTACTATAACGGTTTTGCGATATGGAGAAAACAAAATTTAATAAGAGGATTCAGGTTTGTTACTTTTGAAGGAAATTCATCATAGAAGTGAGCCTGGGTCATCTCAATTCTCTTCAGATCTGTCTCCCAAAGCCGAATCTGCCAAAACAATGCATTTTTATTCAGCATAAGCCTGATGAATCAGGAAGTAGAGATAGTATACACTTTTCATTCTATGAAATATGAACCAATCCTATACACATTTTTATATAATCGACACTTGATGGGTAGAGAGAGTGTAAACCTGATCAGTGACATTTTCTGGAATAGATGGGACCCGATCAGCACATCGTGGATGAGAATTCTGCTGGAGGAAAGTTATAATCTGTGACAATCAAAAGAAAAGGAAAAAATATTTATTCAGAAACTGTTAAGAGAAGCATCAACAATTTGATCAACATCTCAAGGACAGTGTGGATCCGGTCAAGTGTAAGCAAAATTATGTATTAGATAACTTCAAAATGTTTTTCAAATGAAACCAACTGTACCTGATCTGATGTGATGCCATTGTCAAATGCATTGTACAAACTTTCCTTTGTAATGGCACAAGCAATAAGGTTTGGAAGTTGGTACTCTATCCTGGAAAAATGAAAAACAACTACTTAGACCTAAAGGATTTGAAGACACAGAAGAGTAGAGTTTCAGATATTGTTCAGGAGCTTCTACCTCGCAAACAGTCGTAAAATTTCACACTGTAACTTAGATGTGGAGTATGCATACATCCTGAAGTTTGTTTCCATCACGACAAATCCCTGATGAGGAACAAACAAACAACAGCCATACGCAAAATCAAGAAACTTGTTGGTAGCAGGTAGAAATGGGACAAGAGGGGATAAAAAAGGTGTGACCTCTTTTCGCGCTGATGAATCTGCCAGACTGACTGATAAATTTGTAGCCAGTTTAGTAGGAATAAACCAACTGTCTTTCCTTCCCTTTAATAATCATAAAGACTGGCTCAGCATATGACATAGTTGTATAATATCTCTAATTTTAACTTTAGCAAAGTTTATTTCCTTTTGGTATTTGGTAATGAAAAAGATATTACAAATGGTCTAAGTCTAACCTGTTGAAGCTTAACTAATCCCAAGTCTGCAAGGTCCTTGAGGGTATTATTTTGAACCTCTGTCAAAGTATTTGAGTTATATGCCTGCAATGTGTATAAGAATGGGTAAGCTCAACGAAATAATTATCCAGCTTCCAGCTACTCAAGTAAGAAAACAAAAAAAAAACAAGAACGCTTGACATGACTTTTTTTGTGAAGTTCTGTTATACCTCACCAGTAACATGAAAACTAAGCTCCAACAAAAACGAAATCAAGTCTGCTGGTTCTACATCTCGCTCCTGAACAACAATGGCATTGGGTTATCCATCCAGCAAAATAGAGATATCAATTTAACAAAACCTTGTTAAGGCATAATACAAACCTCAGCATTCGATATGTATTCTCGAATAATGTACCAAAGCTGGGCATTTGTATCCATCAGCTGCAAATTAATGTCAATCAGGTTACATGAATACATGTAATAAGAGACCACTGACTCACGATTTGCATACCAAAAACTGAAAGCCACTCTCAGTTAATCTCGGGCCATCTTTGTCTCTGCAATATCACATGAAGTGTATTAAATAGGAAGCCATATGCCACCAGTATGCATCTATAGACGTGTATGACAACATTACCTCTGACTCAATAAACCTCGCTGGAAAATTCTCATCATGGATGAACTGATGCCAGTTAGCTTCTCACCTTGACCCGAATTTATAAGTTGTAGCAAGAAACACTGACAAACATAAGCACACATCATCAGATACTAACCAAGTTCATATTAAAAGATATTTCCTTTACAAACTACTTCCACCTTACGAGTATTATCAATAAGTAATTAGAAAATACACACACCTCCCATTGCTTAAGTGCATAGGTTTCGAGTTCTTGTAGGCTTGGAAGTTTAATGGCATTGTCGGAATGCATAGGCTCTCTAGGCAAAACTCCACTGCAAATTTCAAATTTAGCTCATCAGCATCTTCTCCAAGAACCTAGAGAAAAACGAAAAAGGACACTACCGTCAATGTAAAGATGTCGTTACCCGGAAATTATATGTTTCTGAAGATTGTTCTGAAATGTAGGATTTAGGCTGTAGCTGATTCCCCTTTTCCTGCAAAAGTAGGAAGAGCAGCCTAAGAACTGTAGGAAAAAAGAATCGGAACTATCATCTTGCCACATATCAATCAGAATCAATCCAAACACAGTAAATTTAAGTAAGATGAAGCTCAGAGGGTTTAATGCTCAAGTTAACATCCAACGTCACTCTTCAGTAAAATTTGATTTCAAATGAACTTCCGAAACTAAGACTTCAACATAAATAAACCCTCCACAGTGAATATACTGAAGTATCGAACTAAGTGAAATAAGTCTAATAGTGACAGTATCAAGAATAAACCAAGAATGAAGCATACCTATCACTAGTTTCTGAAAAAATCCTTAATTGAATCAGTCGATCAATAGCAACTCTATGCTTGGAGGCACCATCTGCAAGAACCCACTCCTCCATCATCGCAGCAGGTACAGGAACATTAATGTACAACATCTGCAATACATACTTCTTGGCAAGAGGCGGCAAAGACCTGATACCATCTCAAGAATGTAAGATCCTCAACTTTTTTTCTAAATTTAACAAATGATCAGCAACAAAATCCTCTAACCACACATAAATTAACCTGAGAATGGCTTCGCAGATAAAGACATTGTTGTAGAGTTTGTCAAGCTTGATAGCTGGAAGTGACGCCACCATGTCCATGAAATTTTTAGCAATGATCTTAACTTGCGGCATCTTCACCAATTGGATTCCTTTACTCACTGGACTGGTTCTAAAAGAGTGCGCAACTCCACAATGTCTACGAAATTAGGGTTTATGCCACACAGCGATCAACTCGAAGCAAACCTAGATAACTAAAGAGGAACTCCACAAACCCCGAATCCAAAACACTACTAAAGAAGAACTCCAGAAAACGAATAAGGAAGGATTAAAGTTTCGATTTGAGTTTGAGAACAAAACAGAATTGAATTTAGGGTTTAGGTTCTCACTTTTCTCGAAGAGCTCTATTACAATCGATTATTATTACCCAGAATCGAAGAAAACTGACGAAATCGATCGAAGAGGATGACCAAAATGAATTAAGCCACCGATTTCTCCAAAGAATCTGCGTATTCTTCTATTTTATAATTAAATTCTATTGGGCCTTAAGAATACTACTAATGGGCCTCTGTATAAGAAAATCGCGCCAATTTGTTTTCATGTTGATTTAGGGATATAAGAAAAAAAAACTTATGTACGTAACGTTTGAGTTTGATCATCTGATAAATTTATTAGTACTGCTTTATTCCATTAAAATCGAACTCATACAAATCATTACAATCTTCTTAACGAGACGCAATACATAAAACTATATGAATCTACTACGATTATTTATCATCATTATATTCTCCTAGAGGGCATTATTTAAATATATTAGCCATTACATAGAGAAACCATTATAAATACTATATGATAAACACACTGATGAAAAGTGAAACAATTAAGTAAGTAGAATGTTGGAGTCGTAGGTGGCTCCGGCGGTCCAATCAGCGGGAATAGCGTTTGGCGATTGGATCCAATTGATTCCGGCGCTTCCGTAGACTAAGAACCTCAATGTGAGAGTGCCTCTTGGTGGATTCTGCAAATCGTGAACCGCTCCAAACACTCTTCTCATACGTCTCCACTCTTTGCAATCCTCCTAAATCATACATACACATGCATTGCATACCACATATATTAATGTTTTACTTTGTTTCATAAAATCAACAAGCAAGCCCTTTTTCTAGAGACTAATAAATAATTAAGTTTCTACTTATTTAACGAAACCTGTCCTAACAATAAACTATTTTGATCCTCAAAAACCATAAAATTTGTTTGTAGAAATCTTTGATCAATTTACCTGCCAGACTTCAACGGCGAGGATGTCATTGACACCACCAACGTACAAGAGAAGAATGGCAAGATAATGAGGATTATAGCTTTTCTCATGGACCTTATACACCAGATTATACCCTGCGTATCGACAAGGGATCCTTTGGTACTCAACGTCGACTACACCGAAGGAGTAGAGCTGATTTTCTGTGCCGGGTCGCGCCATACGTCCGTATGCCTTAGGGCTTAAGATGAAGTCAGTACCATCTCCTTCTCCGGAGTCCGTAGCTACTACGTATACTCCTTCCTCACTGCAGTGAGGAGGTATTTTGCACCTCACCTTTTTATAATTCATAGTATAAGTTTAGCTATAATGACATAATATATACTGTACTATAATAATATTTGATGAAATACTTATTGAGATAAACTATATGAAAACCTGGTAACAAGCACCACAGCCAGTTCCATTGTTCCATAGTCGCCATGAAACACCACTCACTTCACCGTTATTGATATCTCTTCCAAATTCTCCATACCCACAATGTCCTCCTGCATCGTCAAAAATTTATTAATTTTTCTTACTCTCGTCAACAAATATTATATATATATATATATATATATATATATATATATTCTCATAATAGAAAGTTCTAGGCATATTACTAACGGATTCTTGAAAAAATCTCATTGCTAATTACGCAGTAATATGGACACTTAATGAACTCGTTTTAAATTATATATTTAGATAAAACATAAATTAATTAGTTTAATTAGTTAAGGCTAATAGTGAGATATTAGGACCAATGTATCTTTTAATGTGTACAAGTACAACTACTACGAAAATGAAAAGAAGTTAAGGTACACAATATATAGCAATATCTATTTCAAATACATACGAGGATTTGCTTGGCAATCGGGGCTGCCATAATAAGTAGCTCTAGAGTTAACAAAATCGTCGGATAGACAAAGGAGAGGCAAAAGGACAATGACTTGAACAAGTAGAAGAAGCAAAACGTGAGATTGCTTCATATTGTTGTTCTTATCTAATATATATTGTAAGCTATTAATTGTAACTCTTTTTCTTAACAAACGATAGGGAAAATAATAGAATTGGTATCAAAGATATGTGAAGATAGAAGAGAAGCTTAATAAGGTATTTATAGTTGGAGCTAGAATGCTTATTAAACAATTGATCGAGCCTGGTCACTATTTGATTCTTTCCACTTGACAAAAAGCTTAAAGCTAACTCAAATTTATATTTAGCTATAACGCGTACTTGCATTACCCGATTTTCTAATTTAAATTGATCAGATCAAATGTATTAAACTAAATGTTTGCATCATACATAGGGTTGGCACAAACCCCGTAGATTCAAAAGCGATTCCTATTATATGCACTTTTATTAATTATTTGATATTAATCTAGATTAGTTAAGGAGTTTTGGTTATCGAATTAACAATATACTAGCAGTATTTTTTAAGATTAAATATGAGAACATTGTAAAGCTCAGAACATTGAGGTATAACCTATTTCCAGTAGATGCATTATCTCCATTTCCATATAACACACAGATACCGAAATTCAAACTAATTTCCAGTGAAAAAATAAAAGATGCATTTAATTTTTGGTTGATGCAATCTCGCTAATTATTCATTTTGAAAGTTAGTGTAGATTTTTGTCTAAAATTATTTTATTCATAAAAGATGAGAGTGAGGAAATATCCAAAATGTGTAATAGACAGACAATGGTGGGGTATATAGCTTTTGGGTCTTTTATTTATTTGAAAAATGATAGGTTGTGCCTCCAAAACAAGAAGTTCATGACACCTAATATTAATTAGATTGGTTTAGGATTAGTTGTTAATTTGGTGATAAATTGGATGAATGAACTCAATAGAATATGCCAAGCGTGCTATTTTTTGAAATCACTAAGTCTTTATTGTTTTTCACTACTAGCATTTTAGTAATACTATTAAGATTGTGTAAAATAGCATGACGACATGGGCTTGAAAGTTATAACTAATATTTGGACAGAAAACATGGTTTTGGTCATTTTTTCGAAAGAGTTTCCTCAATAGCATATTGTTCGAGTTTGGATCCGGTAAGCCTACGTCTACGTACATTTGGAGGATCTTTATGTTTGAGCAGCCAGTTGTATTACCAATGAATTTTGTTTCCAACGAGGAATAACGTGTTTCCCTATAAAACGTGAAAGAGAAATAAAAACACACACAAGTTGCACTTATTAACCTACCACTGCATATATAAAATATACTAGTAGAACTTAACTTTTGTTGTAAACTGTGTTGTTCTATTGATTAATGAATGAGATTTCGATACATATATATACATGATGAGGGGAGACAAATCCCCATTGGGCTAGTAAACCCTAAAGCCCAAAAGCCCACTAAGTACAATATAGGCCGTCATAAGGAGAATCTTCAAGAACATGGGCATGGGCCTTCTAGGACATGGACATGGGCCTTCTAGAATATGCATAAGGTCCACGGTTATGGAGTCCATCCAACATGTGGTTTATAACACTCCCCCTTGGATGACATAACCGTGTAGATGCCAAAGGATCTCAGTAATACGCTTGGGGATGCTGCCTCATTAAAACCTTACCAGGAAAACCCATTGGGACAAAACCATGGTTAAGGAAAAAGAGTACAGCACGTATTACTCCCCCTGTTTTGGTCATCCCTACAAGTCCTTAAGTCTCCGCATTCCAATTTGATGCGTGAGCTTCCTCAATGTCAATGTTGGTAATGCCTTGGTAAAGAGATCGGCTGAGTTGTCGCTGGATCGAACTTGTACCACTCGAACTTCTCCATCCCTTTGCAAGTCATGCGTGAAGAAGAACTTTGTTAGAATGTGCTTCGTCCGATCTCCCTTGATGTAGCCGTCCTTGAGCTGAGCGATACAGGCTGTGTTGTCTCCTCATATGATGGTCTTTGATGTTGTAGTAGCTGCGCCTTGAAGAAGGCTGCCTACGTACCCTTGGAAGGGATCAAGCCACACGTAGTTCCTATCTATTGACCATGCCATAATCTGATTTTACCTGCATCAGCAAAACAAACTAAACCAAAGCAAACTAGACCTTCTTTGGTTAGATCAGTATAGAATAAAACCCAAATAAACAAACATAGGAAGAATAGAATTTAAAATTTAACCAAACCTTCCTTCAAACCTTTCTAGTGCCTTTGGGTTGATCATGAACTAAATTTAGGTAAAGGAGGTTCACGGCAAAACATATGTCTGGTCTAGTGTGGCTAGCCAAGTACATTAACGCTCCTATGGCACTAAGGTATGGCACTTCAGGATCGAGAACTTCTTCCTCATCCTTTTTTTTTTTTGGACCGAATGGATCACTATCCAATCCGAGGCTTCTCACCACCATTGGGCTGCTCAATGGGTGGGCCTGGTCCATATTGAATCTCTTGAGTACTTTTTCAGTATATGCCTTTTGATGCACAAGGATTCCATTATTCACGTACTCAAGTTGCAATCCCAAACAGAATTTTGTCTTGCCTAGGTCTTTCATCTCGAATTCTTTCTTTAGATATTTGACTGTTTGGGCGATTTCCCCAGAGGTTCCAAGGATGTTCAAATCATCCACATATACTGCTATTATCACAAACCCTTCGTTTGCAAATTTCTTTATGAAGATACATGGACTGATGGGATCATTCTTATAACCTTCTCTGACTAGGTACTCGCTTAATCTATTGTACCACATGCGTCCACTTTGTTTCAGTCCATAAAGCGATTTGTTCAGCCTTATGCAGTATTGGTCTCGAGACCCTTTCTTATCTTTATCTTTGAGCTCAATACCCTCTGGTAATCTCATATATATCATCCAGTGGACTTATATAAATATGCAGGCATTACATCCATTAGCCGCAAATCAAGTCTTTTTCTTTATATAGCCAGACTTAGCAAAATTTAAATGTCTTAGCATCCACCACAGGGGAGTATGTTTCTTCATAATCTATCCCCGGTCTTTGTGAGAATCCTTGTGCTATAAGCCGTGCCTTATATCTCACGATTTCATTATTCTTATTTATCTTCT